TAGCGTAAGTAAAATAATCATTTACTGGTTTACTTCTATCCCTCGTTTATATAACTAGATATGGGGAAGCAGAAACGACAGAAGCGCAGCAGAGAATCGTCTAGCAGCAGTTCAGACTCGGATATGGAGAGCCGAAAGCGACTTAAGAAATTAGAACGGTTTTATAAGAAATATAAAAAGGATCGCCATGGCCGGCGATCGCGATCACCGCGCCGGCGTGGCAGTCGATTGCGTCACCGCTCAGCCGGTAACCGCTCGCATTCATCTCTCTCTCCATCTCCATCGCGCTCGGCGTTGCCATCTTCCCGCCGACGGTCAGACGACTCGCCTCGGCGGGGTTGCCGTTCACTCTCGAATTTCCCTGATTTAGGGAATGGTATAGCGCGAGACCGGAGCGTCTCGCCAATTACCGCCGATGGTCCAAGCACCTCTCCTTCGGCTCTCTCCCGCTCAAAAAACGGTGAAGCGCGAGCTCCTAGCGACTCGCCAACCACCGCCAATGGTCTAAGCACCATATTAACATCGCACGAACAGGACGTGCTGATCGTAGACAACGATGTGGAGCTACCGGACGATATATTGGACATTTTAGGAGTAGAATCAAACGAAAACAAGACTGATAATCTCAAAATTCATTCAGCTTTAGCCGCTCGATGGTCTAAGATCATCTCGCAGGGATTGTCAGAGGTAGAATATAACTCCATGGCCCAGAATTACAAGCCACCGTCCAATTTACCGTTGCTTGCTCCTCCGATAATGAATCCGGAAACACAAAATATTCTTCCGGCCAACATGCAAAAGAAAGACAGTGCTTACGTAATGTTCCAATCAAAGCTCGGAGCGGGCATTTTGGCACTGGGAAAAGGAATTGATAGCATTCTGTCGTGCGCAGAATCCATGCCCAGTGTTTATAAAGATACACTTTTACCTAGCCTATCGGACTCAGGGCGCATCCTGGCTAGTTTATTCCACGATTTAACAATGGCACGACGCATGTTCGCCTATCCTTATATGAACAAAAATACTAAAGAATTGTTACAAAACCGTCCCCCTACGGACCTGCTATTCGGATCTGATCTTAGCGATGTTATTAAGGCAGCAAAGTCAATACAGTCGACAAGCAAAGATATTAAATCAGCTCAGCCTTACCTAAGCAGTATTATAGGCCAGGAAAAAAGGAGGGAGGGCAAGCAAGGAATAGCTCCCACTACGTGTCTTTAAACAAGAATCGCCCAGCCCGTCGATCGAGGGAGACAGGGCACCAGAGGGGCACCACCTCGTACGAACTGAATCCGAAAGACAGATACAAGAGGAGAAAATAAATAAGGTAAGTTATAATAATAATCCTTTTTCAGGTAGACTCGCAAAGTTTTATGAAAAGTGGACAACCATCACCCAAAATAAAACAATCCTGCAATGGATTATGGGTTACAGAATACCACTCAATAGTGTTCCCATACAAAGAAACGTACCCAGACATTCTTTTTCTCTTGCCGAAAAACATCTCCTAAACGCCGAAATAGCGAGCCTACGGCTAAAAGGAGCAATTGTGACATGCTCTCCACAGAGTGATCAATTTATATCCAGGATTTTTCTAACTGATAAGTCCAATGGTAAGAAGCGCTTCATTCTGAATCTAAAAAATCTCAACACCTTTGTGGAGGCTCCCCATTTCAAGATGGAGGACACACGTACTGTGTTGAGACTAATTCAAAGAAATTGTTACCTTACGTCAATTGACTTGAAAGACGCATACTTTCTGATTTCCGTAGCACCGGAGTTTCGCAAATATTTGCGCTTCACATTTGAGGGAAATCTATTTGAGTTTGCATGCATTCCCTTCGGTCTAAGCTCTGCACCACATGCATTTACCAAAATTCTCAAACCTGTAGTAAAGAACCTTCGGTTGAAGGGCATTTTATGTGTCAATTATTTGGATGACTTCCTAATCCTTGGCGAAAAAGCAGACATCTGTAAGCGGAACACCGAAACCGCAGTGCAGTTATTGGAATCACTCGGGTTTGTAATTAATCTTGATAAAAGTTCCCTGGCCCCCTCACAAACGTGCAGATTCTTAGGATTCATGTTCAATTCTTTGACAATGAAGATCGAGGTAACACGAGAAAAGAGACAGAAGATCCTGAAGTGGATCAACATTTTTCAAAGGAAAAAGATATTCAGAATCCGACAGTTCGCCCAATTCTTGGGTCTCTTAGTCTCTGCATGTCCAGCCATTAAATACGGATGGCTATACACGAAGTCTTTCGAAAGAGATAAACTAATCGCTCTGAGGAAACATCGCATGGATTACAACGCAAATATGTCTCTTTCATTACAATCACGCGTCGATCTGTCATGGTGGCTGAATAATATAAGTTCAGCAAATAACGACATCAAGCACGACTCATTCCAACTAGAAATCTTCACAGACTCATCCCTTTCCGGTTGGAGCGCTTGTTGTAACGGGGAGACTACGCACGGCTGGTGGACAGAATCCGAGAAAGATAATCATATTAACTTTCTGGAGTTGCTTGCAATATTCTTAGGTTTGAAATGTTTCGCCAAGGGTTTAGAAAACTGCAATATCCTAATAAGGTGCGATAACACGACTGCTGTTGCCTATGTCAACCGCATGGGAAGTGTACAGCACGCAAAACTCAACAAACTAACTAAGCAACTATGGCAGTGGTGCGAGATTCGAGGCATATGGATACAGGCCGCCTATATAAATACAAAAGATAATTGGGTGGCGGACACAGAATCCAGAAGATTACAGCCAGAGACAGAATGGTCTCTAGCGGATTGGGCATATGCCAAAATCACCCGAAGGTTGGGTGCGCCTAACGTAGATTTATTCGCATCTCGAAACAACTATAAATGTAAAAGGTATGTTTCGTGGCTGAAAGACCCTGGATCATTTGCATGCGATGCCTTCACTATTCCGTGGACGGGCATCAACTTCTATGCATTTCCACCATTTTCCGTAGTTTTGAGAGTTATACAAAAAATAATAAATGACAAAGCAAATGGGATACTAGTGGTACCGTTTTGGCCTTCCCAAGCGTGGTATCCACTTTTCATTAGGCTTTGTAGAGGAGAACCCATTTTCTTTGAGCCACAACCGGATCTATTGATTTCACCTTTCAGCAGCGCAGAACATCCTTTAGCGGGGAACCTTACCCTGGTAGCGGCGAGACTATCCGGCGAGCCCTAAGGATGCAAGGTGTTCCCGAGTGTGCAGTCGAAACGACATTGCAATCCTTGTCTGAAGCTACAATAAAACAATACGGAGTCACATATAAACTCTGGTGGGAGTTTTGTAAGGCTCATAATACTTCGCCATTTAATGCCCAGGTTAGTGAAGTTATCACCTTTCTGCAAAGCATTCTTGATAAGAATGATTGTCTATTTGGATCCTTCAACTCTCACAGGTCAGCGCTTTCATTGATTTTGCCATATAAATCAGGGGATAATCCCATCTTAAAACGGTTTATGAAGGGCATATCTCGAATAAGACCACAGCAGCCAAGATATAGTCTCATTTGGGACCCTAAACAAGTCCTAGATTTTCTGGAAGCGCAACAGACAACTTCCCTGAAACAACGTTCAATGAAACTGGTGACCCTATTGCTGTTGGCAACAGGACAAAGGTTGCAGACTATATCGAAAATAAAAATTAGCAATATACGGGAAACCTGCGACTGTGTCCAAATTTTGATAGACGAGACGATCAAAACATCGGGACCGAGATCAAAGCAGCCTTGTCTGATAATCCCAAGGTTCAATGACAGACCTCAATTATGCGTAGCAAATTGTCTGACATCCTACGTCACAGAAACTGCGGCATTAAGGAATCAAAATGACGAGTATTTGTTCCTAACAACCCAAAAACCATACCGAACCGCTTCCAAACAAACTCTCAGTCGGTGGGTAAGAGACACCCTCAAAATGGCAGGGATTGATACTAACATATTCAAGCCGCATTCTAGCCGGCATGCGTCAACTTCTGCCGCTAGCAGAGCCGGAGTTTCTTTGGACATTATAAGGGATTCAGCAGGATGGAGTAGGAATTCTGAAACCTTCGCGAAATTTTATAATCGACCTCTAATATTTAGAGAACAGTTTGCATTAAACGTTTTGGACGTACAGGAATAAGCATTTACTTATGTTTATGATATACCGCACGGGTTTTTGTTTGAATTTTGCCGGTGGCAAAACTTTAGAATTTATTTCAAATGACATTTTTCTTTTATGCTCCCTTCATACGTTGTATCGCATGAAGTTGCATTAAACGTTGCGTTTAGGAGCAACCGTTCATTTTGAGTTATGTTACACACTGTATCACATAGAGTTTTGTTTGAGTTTTGCAATATATCATCGTTCTCCCAATAAATGCTTGATCACCAAAGCCTTATACTTTTTATTTCCGTTCGTGTCATAACCCATACATCTTTAAACATCTACGTGGTGAAATAATAAACATCTTTGGACTGGACGCCGAAGTATAATTTAACGATCAAATGAACTTACCTTAAGGAAGTTCGATCGAAATTATATGAGGCGTCCAGTCCAAAGATGTAAGCTCCCCCCCATGCCCTACCCTGATGGGTTATGCACAAAACGGAATGATTTCAACTAAATGACTGTAGAAGGGGAAAGCTGCGGCATATACAGGAACACGGGCGTAGCAGAGGGGGATTTTGCTTTAAAAACCTTGTGGCTGGTAGCACGACAGGGCGGACTACGTGGTGAAATAATAAACATCTTTGGACTGGACGCCTCATATAATTTCGATCGAACTTCCTTAAGGTAAGTTCATTTGATCGTTAAATTATTTTCGATCGAGGAGACCGTTTTCAGAATGAACATACACTTGTAAGATGAAAGTGGGGTGGCCGTCAGTGCAGCGTCAAACTCCAGAAAAGATCCAAGTGGTGCGGCAAGCAGTTACAGCTAACCCTCGTCTCTCGGTGCGAAAATTGGCGCGCATGCATGAAAAAATGTCTGTTGGCAGTGTACACAGTACTCTTCATGAATTAAAGCTGTATCCCTATCGAATTGAGGTACGACCAGAATTGAAACCTCCAGAGACTACGCTCGTCGGACACAATTTTGTCGCTGGTTTAATTTTTTTGTGCACCAAGGTATGGCTCAGTTGGATACGGTCTTCTTCTCTGATGATTCTTGGGTGCATTTAGATGGTTATGACAGAATTACCGTCTATGGGGAAGTGAAAATCGTCATGCCTATGTGGAAAGAGGGTTACACCCTCAGAAGATTGGGATATGGTGCGCTGTATCGCGCGCACGAGTTGTTGGACCCTTCTTCTTTACTGAAACCATCACTGCGGAGCGATATCAACAAATCCTCGAATTGTTTATCGCATCTTTGAAGTCGGGGGAACGTTATTGCTGGTTTCAGCAGGATGGGGCCACAGCTCACACCGCTGGTTCAATAATGAATTTCCTAACTGAATTTTTTGGAGACCGCATTATTTCACCAACATGGTGGCCACCACGTAGCCCTGATTTGTCGCCTCCAGATTTTTATTTATGGGGCTACATCAAAGACAGGGTTTTCCAGAAACCACCCACCTCAATCTCAAACTTACAAGCGCGTATTACAGAGGCTATTAACGTAATAATACGAGCAGTCTTACATGAAGTGTTCCGCAATATGCAGAGAAGCAGATGGTGGACACTTCGAGCTTTAGGTGTTATCTTCTTGTTCGTATCCATATTTTTAAGTATTTATTTTTTGACTTTGTATAATAAATTGTGGGAGTTTGTAATCAGGGGATCTATTTTTCTTGAACATCTAGTTGAAAAAACGCAATTTGGAATGTTGTTTTCAAGGCTGCTGTATGTTTCTGCCAGGTCATGCCTTTATCAAGCGTGACACCGAGGTACTTGGCAGAATTTGTCCATGGTACACGATTGCCGTCTACAGAAATCTCTGCAGGGGGGCCGCGACGTTTTTTGTTACAATAAATAGCCTGCGTTTTCGAATGATTAATTCTTATCAGCCACCATTCCGCCCACTCCAGAACTTTGTCCACCGCACTCTGCAACCCATCGTGAACCAGATCACCAGTACACGACTGGCCGACAAGTGCAGTATCGTCAGCATAGAGGTAGACTTCACAGTTGCTGGGGCAAGGGAAATCATGGATAAAAAGCGAATGAAGGATTGGTCCTAGAACCGAGCCCTAAGAACCCCGGCCCGAAGTGGCCGTGTTATTGACAAAACATTGTTAATTTTGATGCGAAACTTCCTACTTTCAAAGAAAGGATATCAGTAATTTTAGAAGCCCCAAAGGGAAACTCTTTATAGAGGAGGCCCTCGTGCCACACCTTGTCAAAGGCTTTTGAATAATCCAAAAGCAAGATGCCAGTACTCATGCTGAGGCTGAATCCTCTGGTTACATGTTCCACCAGCCTAACTGCCTGTAGCTCGGTACTATGCTCGGACCGACAAATTCATAATGTAATGTAATGTAAGTAATGTAAGCTGCCGAGACACATACCATTTCGTCATTCATTCTTGGCTGATTTTGCAGACAATATTGCCAAGATATGGCCGAGATGAAACTAGTATAACCGAGATATATAGCCGTGCCATAGCTTCCACACCTCGAAATATGAATGAACTTAAAATAATGTGGTAAACAATAACTACAATCGTAAGTTTACTTGAAAATAGCAGACTATAACTAGTGCTGCCACTACTTACAACATGCCTATGCTCATCTTATATTGAATAAAAGAGATCAGTTTATATATATATATATATATATATATATATATATATATATATATATATATATATATATATATATCCTTAATAACAATACGTAAATCTTATGATAAGTGGTGAGATTTTAAAAACAAATTTAGTATCGTACAATATAATCGACAACGCTGAAGAATTGGAAACCCATCAATATAAGGTTCTTTCCAAAAGGATTCCCGAATGATGCTTACAGTAAACCAGATTTGTTTGGAACGTAGATAGTTTTATATCATTAATTTTTTGAGATGAGAGTATTTTTCAGTCCCTAATAATCATGACCTGCTTGTTCGTTTGGACTGATATCAAAATGAAAATACAACAAAATCTAAAAAATACTATTCAAGTCCATCCTAAAGCGACGATAATTTATTTAATAGAATGTTCTTCAGCAAACTTCAACATTTCTTTTTTAGATCATCTGAAAACTTCCAAATCTCTGTTACCAATACCAAGACCATTTCAGAACTTTTTACTCTATCCCTTCCTTTCTCTTTTTCGTCTCCCCTTCCTTCTTCCTGAATTTATCTTGTTATCTGCGTAACCAGATCTGGCAGTCATACTGACCTACAAGCTACAAGTATTTAACCAAGAACAAAGATCATATGAATTACTCTGATAAAGAATGACAACAAAATATATACTATGAAGGTGAAACCACTTATCCAAAATTTGTTGTTCAAATGGCAAGGACTGTTAGAGTATCCAAGATGAGTATAGACATGATGTAACATGGCATATCAGGCTTTCTTCAACAGCAGTCACGATAACTCTGGATAAGATCTAGAAAGCACATAGCTGTCAATATGAATCTTATGTCTGCTAGCATAGTGCATCTTCAGATTGAACCTTCTCTTAGATGAGAACGAGCACTCCTGGCATGAATAGGTCGCAGATTTGATGCAGTCCAAAGACATGTGAGCCCTCAAGCTATTCATATTTTTGAACTTCTTTTTGCACACGACGCATGAGGCTGAAAACAAAAGTTGTTAGCGTTTCAAAACTGGAACAGTAGCAGAAATAAATAACTAATAGTTTGAAAACGTGAAGTCAATCAGTGATTATTTGGACTAAGACTATCTTACCCTTTGGCGATTTCCGAGACACCGCCTCGTTTAGGAGATACAGGGCGAGCAAAAAATACGAAAATATATTTTTATGAGCAAAAATCTAACACAAAGCCTCAAAATCAACTCCTGTTAGAAGGCAAGGCCTGTGTTTTTTGCTACTGCTACTAATGTTCAGTGTGTGTTAGCGATAAAATAGTCCAATGGTGTTTTATCTTAATGCTTGACATAATTGCACCACAATATATTTCATTTGGTATAATCAATGCTCTAACTACATCAATATAATTACAAAAAGATCAAAATTTATTTTCTTCATCAGTTTCGTGCCTGCAATAATTTCTTCAAATCGGCATCGTCAACCTGATGCTTTTTCGTCAAGTGAGTCTTCAAACTGAATTTTCTCGTTGATATGAATTTACAATAAGCACATCCGAATTTCTTGGGAGCCATACAGTCTAGATGGTAGTGTACTCTCCATGAATTGTGATTTTTGAATTGTTTATTGCAGCCTTCACATATCACTTTGTGATTTACTAAAAAAAAAAAACAAATCAATATTCTGTTCTTTCAAGAATCAACAAACGTCTAGGACTAGAACGTAAAAACGATAAATGCATGGGTTGAGTTTTGCTTATCTCCCTTTTTTATTTGAATGTATACAGATATTATCAAATAAATAACCTTACTTTTTTCTTTATGTTTCACAAGTTATATACTATATTTGTAGCTTAAAGGCACGCGTCCACTGGTCCGGACCGTACGCTTCGGACCAAACGATAATTTATGGTCCACGCGGTAGCCATTTGCAGTCTTATTTTTGGTGTAACATGGATAGATAAAGATATAGGGTAATAAATTAAAAAAATAAAAACATAAGCTTTTACTCTCTATAAAATGAACTAAAAGATAAAAAAGTCGATTGGAAATATGCCGATTTATACTTCTTAACCTTTAAATGATAATGAACCTCATTGTCTCAAGTTTTCAAATAAAAGCATGTTACATTAAACATAGTTTAAGAAGTACAAAATGGTACAAAATTCAGAAAAAATCATTTTTTCAATTGAAGACACAAGTTTATAAAGGTGTCATGTGACAGTTTTTTAAAATTGCTTTTTCGCATTGAACTAGCCTTACGGAGTCATTCTTTCATTATGTAATCACTTTGTTGTAAAAACAAGATAATAACCAAACTAATTAAAGTAAATATTTAAAATGTCAATAACGTAAACAGTCCCAATAAAAAATGTTTAAAGTTAAATTTCTGCATTAAATTATTTCGTTACATGACACCTTTATCGACCTGTGTATATTTTTAGTTCATTTTATCATCAATTAAATAAAAACTCGTTTCTAAATATGTTTTTTCTTTGATTTATCTTTTATGTTTTAGTATTTCATGATAAATAACTAGTTTAATAATTTAAATCTAATTTACATATATTTAGTTTTATTAACATTAATAAACGTCCTTAGTTCATGTCCCTTATGCGATTTCTTCGGATATAAATTCTATATTACGTAAATGCAGGAGACGTACTTGTATCTATAATTATCCTTGTTCATTCAATTTATCTAAGACATAAAGCGTACGGTATGTTTTATCGAAATATCTAATGTTAAAAAGCTGGAATTTTATATAGTTATTATAGATGGGTATTTATAGGTATTACATAATAGTTTACTACCTATTTGCTACAAGCACTTTGTAATAAATCTATGGGACTACTCCTAGTAGTGAAAGCGTATCTTCTGCCTGTGATCAACTGGGCATACAGATTATAATTCAATTTAGCCAATTACTTTTTTTATATCGAAGCAGCCGCGCAGGCAGAAGCCTAAATGTCGGAACACCGCGGCTGCTCTGATGATCCCAAAGAAATTTTATTAATACGATTTTTGAACTGCCTAAGGTTAATAGAACTGGGAAAAGCTTCTTCCCGTAGACCGCTCCACAATCTCGATACCCTCGGGACAAAGGAGCGGTCATATCGGCGGGTTCTGGATGTACGAAGTTCGGCACGGTTAGAATGGGACGCCAAAGTTAGGCGGGTCTGTCTGGCAGGCACATCTCGCGACGGCAAGAAAACACCAAGCCGGGCATGCGTAGGTGATTGCGGGTCTTATGACCATTTTATACAATCGAATTTTGTTGACGAAAGGTAATTTGGAATTTTGTTTTCAAAATATCAGTATGTTTCTGCCAGGTCAGCCCCTTCTCAATGATGACTCCAAGAGACCTGACAGATTGCTCCCATGGTATACGAGTTCCATTCACTGATATCTCTGAGGGGGCACCGCGACGATCAACCACCGATCCGCCCACTCCAATACTTCCTCCACTGCACTCTGCAGTCTGTCGAGAACCAGGTTACCAGAACAAGACTGGGCTAGCAATGCAGTGGCGTTAGCATAGAGATAGACTTCACAGTTGCTGGGGCAAGGGACGTCATGTATATAAAGTGAAAAAAGGATTGGTCCTAAGACCGAACCCTGAGGAACACCGTCTCTTACGGCCCGTGTTGTTGACAACACATTGTTAATTTTGATCCGAAACTTCCTTCCTTCTAGAAAAGATTTCAACAGTTTTAGTAGCCAAAATGGAAAACCCTTTTGGATGAGCTTATACAAGAGGCCCATGTGCCACACCATCTAAAAGCAAGTACTTTTGTTCAGGGTGAACCCCGTGGTTACATGCTCCACCAGTCTAACTGCCTGTAGTTCCATACTATGCTCAGACCGAAAGCCGAATTGCACGTCAGGAATGACATGGTGATCTGACGAGAAATTCTCAAAGTGACGATAAATCACCTTTTCAGCGAGCTTAGAAGGAGCTGACAGCAGAATAATGGGATGGCAATCCTGGGGGAATATCGAACCTGCCTTCTTTGGGATCATGATGACTTCAGCGACCTTCCACGCCTTAGGAAAGTAATGAGTTCTGAGCATTGCATTGATTATTGCCACCAGATAAGTCAAAGCCTTGAGTGAAAGCAACTTCAGTGCTTTGTTGGTGATTTGATCCTCTCCAGGTGCTTTACGCACCTTTAGGTCCTTAATGTGGCATTGGAGCTCCGCTGGTGTGCAAAACGGAATCTCAGAGGATTCCGTTAATGTGCTATGCTGAGATTCATCTGAAGAGTCTTCAGTAGAAGAATCTTCTGAAAAGGAGTCACCGATGCTAGCACCGATGTTGGTATCGCCATTCGCTCTGACGTATCTCCTGACAGATCTTACAATTTGTCGTTCCTCGTCAAGGTCATTGTCCAGATCATAATTGGGAGAGAACTGCCTTTCCATGACGTCAACAAAAACCTCCACTTTATCCTCAGTCCTGAAAACTATGCCTCTAGGACCATGAATATGTGGTAGTTGTTCTTGCCTTCCGTTTCTGAGCGATTTTGCCATTTTCCAGAGAGGAATACTTGATTCAAGCATCCCCGCCAGAAAGTCGCTCCACTGCTCATTGCTCATGGAGTGCATTTCTCACTTCATGGACGAGTTTCGAGGCTCTACGAATGTCATCAGGATAACAAGACCTTTTTGCTTGCTTAATTGCAGCCCTCTTTTCAGAAATTTTCCGACGAATGTCGGCAGGGAGAAAAGGTCTGCCGTGTCGCTGCACCGGAAGCACAGCAGCACGCTGTAGAGTTTGGTGAACGAAACTTGTCCACTCCGATTGAGCAGCATCAATTCCGTTCTCATCATGTATGACCGGGACGCTGGGAAACTCTTTGAGAAATGACTTGTATAGTTCCCAATCAACTCTTTTCCTTGGAGGAGTTTCCTCCTCCACGAAATGCCCATTACCTACCTCCAGAACAACAGGTAGATGGTCACTAGAGATGTCATACAAGATCCTAGAAGCAATACTGGACCTACAGTTTTTAGATATTGCAAAGTCTATAACATTCGGTGCCTGAAGGTGATTGAAAGGATGGTGTGTCGGCTCTTCGGTGCTGTGAATAAGATACCCGTTTCGCATCACATGATTCTAAAGCCGACAAGTATAGTTAAGCCTTGAGTGCCATGATCGGTGTTTGCAGTTTGCAGTTGTAGTCCCCTGCCGCAATAAGAGGGCCCGAACAGTTCAGAAAGACTTCCAAGTCCTCCTCTCGCAGCCTGGCACCGCACCTGCAATACACCGAGGTGATCTTCAACGGAATGCATCCCGCCATATTGACTACCACGGACGCCGCATCAATGCTTTGCATCTCGGCGTTTGTGCTTCTGTGATAGTCAATATCATGTTTAACGAGCACTGCCAAGCCACCACCCCTACCATTCAATCTGTCAGCTCGTATAACATCATAATTCGAGAAATCTAAGCGATCTCCCGGATTAAGTAAGGTTTCCTGCAGCAGAGCTACACGTCTATACTCTCATCCAATAGAGTTTGATGAAATTCCCGTTTTTTGGGAATATCCCTTAGGCCCAGACAATTTCAAAAAAGAATTTTGATAAATGCAGGCATTCAATGGCTGCGGAAAGATCGCCTGCAATGCCTGAGTGGCGCTAATCAGGGGACTTATTATTTGTTGAAGGGACCTAAGCACATTCTGCGTGTTCAAAGTGGGTTGAACAGAGGGGGCAGCTGAAGATGTTAAGACGGCTGCCTCCGCGTATGACTTGCTGCGTCTTTGCGCTATGACTTCCAGATTTCGTCTGGGGGGTCGCACACTTTCGCTCCTCTTGTCCTGTGAGGGGGCATACATGTGTCATGTGGTCGGAAGCAGATTTAAAATTTTTGGGAGGTGCTGTTCAGTAAGTCTGGGCATGACCATACCTTTGGCAGCGGCGACACTGTCCAATAAGTCTATCATATAAGCTCTATGTGATACTAATATTGCATTGACATATTATATAGGGTGTTTTCAAAGTTGAGTCATTTATTTTAACAGCTTTTAGGACTCGGCAAAATAAGTTGATATACCAAACATCACCTACATAAAAGTTGCATAATAACAGAGTTAGTTTACACTATTAAAAACCTTTTTACAAAAACTGTTCAAAATTTTCCCCATTTGCTTGATTAAGTCAAAATCTCGGCGAATCCACAAGTCTTTACAAGCTTCGAAAATAAAACCCACGACTTAAATCACAATCATTTTCGGTGAAACTCATCATTTAGATGCTCATGAACTTATAGTCTAAAATGTGGTGGAGCCCCATCATGTAGGAACCACATATTATGTCTCAAATTTGATGATAATTGTGGCAAATTGTGTCGAAGAAAATCTTGTCGTGGTGGAAAAAAGTAGGGTCCAATAAGCATGCCATTTGCCACACCACCCCAAACATTTAATGAAAATCTATGTTGAAAGTGAGTTATTTTATATTTTTTATTTACTTTCTACTGCCCAACATTTCTGTACACCAAATTGATTTCGTAAAATCTTCATTTCTGCCGAACTATTCTAAAAGCCACTGCCATCTTCAGGTTGTAACGCTTGTACCCTTTGATAATGATAAGGATAATACTGTTCTTATCGTATTGTCTTCCACACTTTACTATGACAAACTTCAACTTGAGCTGCTATGACTCTAGTACTCTTTGTTAGGTCGTCTTTGACCATTTCTAAAATATCTTCCTCAAATTGTAACATTTCAGGTTGAGCAGGTCTTTTAGTGTGATCTCCCAGTTGTTCTATTAAATATCCTAAGTCACGAAGTCTAATTACTAAATTTACAAACATGGATGATTTCTAAAAGGAAACCTTTCCGCATACAACCTGCATGCTGGGGCTGCATGTTGTTGGCACTTTCCGTATGTTAGTATTATGTCCACTAGTTCATTGTTTTCGTAAGCATGGACCATTTTTTGCACAAAATAATCAGACAAATGAAAGTATACGCACTACTAAAAGACTGACAGAACTGATCGAACTAAAGAGTCGCACTGAAAAACATACAATAAGACAAGACGTTTCCCAATTTTATATAAACGATAAGAGTAATAAATAAAAGACTCTAAGATTTTACACTGCAGTGGCCGAGAATATCAAACTGTGTAATAATCTCATTTTTTTTAATTTTCTCTTCCACTATTTCTTATATTATGCAATTTTTATATAGTTGATTTTTTGTATATCAACTCCTTTTGACGAGTCCTACAAGCAGTTGAAATAAACGAATCAAGTGTGAGAACACCCTGTATAAAAGACACTTCACTTATTGTACTTCGCCCGTCAAGCCCTTTCACTTGATACTCAAGTATAGGGGTGACTACGAAAATTATGAATCACTATTTTTGCGGCGGCGGTTTCTCTCACCAACCTCTTTCATATGAAACCGCCATATTGACCCAAAATAGTCGCATTTAATTCATTGTATATTATCAGGCGAACCAATGGTGTCTATAATATTTCAACTCAACTGGTTAAAGTTAACGTTAAGTTTTAAGATTTACTCCACATAATATGCTAACAGTTCAAGCTAAATAAGAACTTGTAAAAATGAACTCACGGTCCGTGCCGCCGACGCGAGGGTGAGGCACCCACTGATCAACCTGAATGACGTCATCAGCGCTCATCGAAACAGTTGAAAATTAGGATTACGGGTGATGCTATGCGTCCCATTAAGCCAATGCGTATCATTAGTGGGACATTCCAAAAATTTCCAAAATCGATTTGTCCGACGCGTATTATATGGACGTGTGGACGCGTACCTTGAAGTAACATCATAAAGCGTTTTAAGCGCCACCATATCAAAACAATCTTTACGCAATGGATAGTAACGACTTCTATATGGCCAGTTTATAAAGGCATGGCAAATATATCAATAGTTATGCCTTGTAGAAATATGTTTTTCTAAGGACCATTTCCTATAAGTTCTGTAATAACAATTAGGGTAGTTGCAAGTGAAGCTTGGTGGTCTTCCACACTCGTATCTCATATGTCTATATTTAGAGCACTTCTGCTTGTACAGTTTGCCACAGTTGGGGCAGGATACTGTTCCTGCAACAATCAAAACTATAGATTCGTCAGATTGGATGAAGAAATACACAATAATAATGAAAAATAAGCTGGTTCTGTAGGAACAGTTTCTCGACTTTGATTCCATTAGTCGTCTTGCAAGAAATTACTTATTACAACTTATCCTGTAGTTTTAATGCTGATAAGGGCTAGTAGCAAGGACGTATTGTATTTATTAATACACTTCAAGCCCCGGTAAATCGCCGCACCTATAAGACATATCTCAGACGTCATAGATTTGACCCTACATTTGCCCTTAAAACTTGCTTCCCCATCACCGACCGGCGTGACAGTCTTCCTAAGTTCCCTCGCATGACTGGCGCTCTGCAGCGGTGCCTCGTCTGACCCACCATGGCATTTATGAGATGCGACGTTTTCAGATGGTTTGTAGTTAAATTTTCTCTCGGAGAATCTAACTTAAAGATGCTGCTTTTGTCCGTCCGACCAACGAGAGCCAACCATGGAGAGATGTTTTGTGCTTTTTTGACAACTCATCAGCATGGCCTAGGCTTGCCTCTGGGACAATGAACGAGGGCATAGCAACTATCTTCTGACCAAAGTATGAAGTTGATGGCACTGTCTTATTTTGTAAATATCAGATAGTCATTTGTTTCATAATATCATCAACCACGCACACCTTCAGTTTTTGACAATTAGACATAGATGAATGCCTATTTGGCTTTTTAATGTTGTGCTATTTAACATATCATGACCAAGAGTGATATTATAAAACGAAAAATACCTAAACAAGTTGTCTTCCCGTAGATGGTCTTAACTCATCGAATAAAGAACAGCCCAATGCAAAATATTGATATTATTCAAGGCTCATACAGAAAACTGTTGTATTTAACTGATGGAAATATTTTGAACTAACATAAGTAAAAGCCTCGCACACGTAGCAGCTCCCTACGCACATTTTATATCTGCCATATCTAAACTGATGCAAACATCTTACATTCATATGTACGGCTGAGATGTCAAGCATCTTCATCGTGTTAAAATGAAGCTTTTTATTGACGATTTAATCGGATAAACATGTGAGAAGCTGCCAGTTTCAAAGCCAACTATCAGAATATTTTGAAATCAGAATTTGAAACTCGATTCATGTGTGCAAAAATCAATATGATGTCTTTAAGAAGAAATAAAGTTGATGATTGAGGACAAGAGATAAAACTCATCTTGCAGTCTTGTAGAGGAGAAAAGATGGCAATATTAATGTAGTTTTTATTCTGAAATACCATCCCAAATGGTTAGAATCGAATTTGAAACACCCCTTCTATAAATATAAGTTGACATCTTGTAGAAGAATCTACGTTATGTAACAAAAAACCTATAAAGTGTCAAAAAACCGACAAAATGTCACTTTTCAAGATACGTAATAAAAATCACTATTAGATTTATGTTAATGGATATCGTACTTTTTTAATTTTTACCGTTGCAGATCTTGTAAGATTAAGATGATAAGGGATATAGGGATGGGTGTATAAATGCTGATAAGATTAATTATAGTAAAACAGTGATATGTATTATACGTAATAATTATCACAATTGCAGAGTGAAAGATTCCAATGACATACACAGAATATCCCCCTAATCTCCTCAAGAGGCCAAACCTGTTTTTAAATTCATGAATAGTCATTCTTTTGACAATGCCTTTACATTCAGATTGCAGTACCAGATCCGAGCAGTCCAGTGGTACCGGTGTCAACAATTTTGACGTAATATCCAGCTCTAGGAGTTTCAGCTTCAGGGTGTTTTGATCTGTAATGCTTCTTGATTTCGTAAGTCCTCTTATTGTAAAAATTGCATAAAAGGCATTTGAATTTCTTTTCATTTGTACAATCGTTGTTCTTGTGGTATTTGTATGTCATTTGATTTTTGAAGGATTTGCCGCAATTTTCACAACTAATACCTGGACCTAAAAAGGTTATCAATTCGAAATTGATTTGGTAATTCATTTAATAAGCACTTAAATAAAATCAATTCCTAGATAAATCAACCTTACTTCTATTGATATTTTCGATCAGATCTATTTATCTAGTAGCATAAAGCTTATGTACCAGATGTCGTTTTGCATCTGTACGATCGTCTGTGTATTTCTACTGTAGCTCATAATAACCCAATTCCTATGCTACTGGCGCAGTTTCGAGCACGAAAGCGTTTATGTGCATGCTGCTAGTTCCAAATATTTATTCAAAGACATTGTTTATTTTTCTCGATTTCAAAAAAATAACTTTGACGCATTGTATGTTATTTTTTATCTACTTTATAGTAAGGAAATTGTGCTACTGATTCATAAGTAAATCATATAAAAAACTGTAGTCTAAATAAATTTAGAAAACCGTTTAGAAATAATGTCTTGATGCAAACAAAAAGAAAACTTTTAACCACTACTCGTATACTAGACCAGACTGGTTTTATAGTCAACTATTAATTAAACAATAGCTGTAGATGATTCTTTTCTCGTTTTTATTCTTATTCTCGCTGAATATCATGCAACTGATCACAAGCTTGACGAAGGTGTTAAAAATCATGGAGCTGATTTCTTTAGTGCATTCAGGTTTTGTTAGTATCACCATGCCGTGGTATTGATTCACCCATTCTAGTCCACCACATTTTTAGCTAAAATGAAGATAGAAGTGCGTAACAAATTTTGGTATAGTCTAAGAATATTAGCTTGAAAATTGTAGACCAGACCAAATAATTCGTGTAGTTTTGAAATTTTGTGGAGGGAGAAAGGTTCCTTTATTGACATCTTCATAAATCCATCTACATATAATCTACATTAAATGCACAGCAAATTATGCGATATGCATTTTTGCTTATGATCGATACTTTAGAAGCCACAAGGTATCTTTGCTGAGAAAAATAAAATAAGCACGTTTTAAAAAATAAAAAAGTGCGACTGCAGCAGCTACAAAGAATGCATTTTTAATTGTGCTATCAAGACGCGCTTCAGTTCAAACAACCTGATATGTTTTGACATACGAGAAGTCCCTAGATTTCTTTTGATAGTGCGGTTGATTGGGCATTAGAAATTTATATTTCATGGGCTTCAGGCCAAGCGGCTTGATAAATTTTGACATTTGGGGTGTACTAAGATCCGTCTTAGCACAATTGAAAATTCGTTCTTTTCAGTCGTTGCTTATTGAATTTTTTAAAAATGTACTTGTTTCAGTTTTATCAACTAAGATGCATTGTATCTCCTAAAGAATTGATTCTGCATTATAAACGTACATGACATAATTTGAGTTTAATAATTATTATTGTAGAAGGAATTATGGAGATGTTATCAATAGTATACGAGATGCACCCAAAAATCTGAAAACAGAAACACAGTAGAGGTCTGTTATTATGTTCAAATGAGCACCTCAACGAATAGCTCTACAAATTTTCAGAACTTGAGAATTAATTACATGGTCTTATTTTCTTAGATTATGGATCGGATAGGTATTGCCAGGTTATACCATAATATTTATTTACCCCAGTACTTCGAGAAGATATGTGGTCCACGCCCTCGTTAGGTAAAATAAGGATAAAAAAGCGTCTCAAATTACGACTTGAGAAAGTATAAAATAGGGATAATATGGTATAGTCAACGCCAAACAAAGTGGCGTGCACGTCATCACGATAAAAATTCCCCGACCTAATGCCTAGGTTTCTATCACAAACAATTGCTCTATTGCAGTTTCATATTAATGTGATATATAAATTGTAAAATGGTCATTACTCTCTTATTATGGTTAATAGTCATATAAACATTGTTATTAAAATATCACATAAGTTGCTTTCTGATAAATTTAGACGCATTATGCGAAATAAAATGTTTTGCAAACGCTCCAATCACTTATCGACATGTAAACGCACTAAACCGATTTCGCAGCGTTGACACATTGTCACCTTGAAACTTATTTAAACTGGGAACTGACATTTGTATTAATTTTGACACTGAATCAATTTGTGGCATTTCAAATCTTTATAAATCCTTTGGCCCCGCATACTGTAAATCAACAACTGTTTGTTTCAAAACAAAATTATTCATTTTACGAGTAGATAAAGGCAATTTTGGTATATAAAGATGCCCAAACAGTTAAATAGTCGGTGTAAGGAACTCGTGGCCTCGTTAATGCACTACTTTGAGCAAGAAAGGGACAACAACGGGCCTTTGTTGCCTTTAAATGCTGTTCAAGAGGTAGGTTACTAATAATTATATGTAATGTATATTAATAATAGTGAAATTTTATTCCATTTTTTGTAGCGTGTTGCTGCTGCTTTAAAAATTAGTTTAAGGACAGTTAGTCGTATTTCCGAGGGTGTGAAAAGTGATGCAAATTTAGAATCGCCCAAGAAAAAGCGGAGTTATATTAAACGTGTAACCAACACAGCGACATTGGATACAAGTGCCATTCGAGAAGTGATCTATAATATGTATCACAAAAGTAAGATCTTATTATAATAACTTATCAGAAATTTGCATTAATTTGTTAACTAAATTATAATGTCATATTACACATGGTTTCAGAAGAACAAGTTACGATACAAACTTTATGGTCTCGATTAAGAGATAGGGCATTATTTGATGGTAGTGCCACGTCTTTAAGGCGGTTGCTTAGAGATCTTGGATTTAAGTGGCTTAAGGACAATCCGCGACGAGGGCTCATGGAACTACCAAGTATAGCTTTGAAAAGGGTGGAATTTCTAAGGCAATACAATCAAGCCAAGGTTGAGGCCTTATACCAGTTTGTCTTCCTCGATGAAACTTGGATATTTCAAAATGAGACCAAAGGTCGCTCTTGGCAAAATGGAAACCAAAAAAGCGTGAAAGCTATTAAAACAGATGGTAAAAGGTATGTACTTTTACAGAATTTGCACTATAAAATTTAAAACTAATATATTTTAGATACATTATATTACATGCTGGAAATGAAAATGGGTTTATTGAGGGTAGTGAAGCGATATTTTCTTCGAAAACAAAATTGAGCGATTACCATGGAGAGATGAACCAGGACAATTTTTTGAAATGGTTTCAACATCAGTTATTAGAAAAATTGGAGAGTCCATCTATGATTATACTGGATAACGCCCCTTATCACAGCATGATATTGAACAAAGTGCCCAACAATGCATGGACAAAAAAAAATATCCAAGACTGGTTGACAAATCAAAACATACCATTTTTAAACACAATGTTTAAAACAGAGCTATTGAGTATTGTTGCTCGGTACATAATGCTTCTTAATTATATATAGTATTTTGGTCGACAGTTTATATTTCTTTTGTTTATTCCTATTCTTAAAATAACTGCTTTTTTAGAAACAAACCACCTAAAATATACGTGATTGATGAATTGGCGGAACAACATGGGCACAAAGTTCTTCGTCTGCCTCCTTACCATTGTATATTTAACCCTATTTAGTTAATTTGGGGCATAGCAAAAGGTTACTATAACAGACATATTGGTAGAGATGGTAACAGTGAAAAAGACTGTTTGGATATGTGGAACGAGGCTCTACAAACGGTTACCCCAGACATGTGGAAAAATAGTGTTCGACATACTGAGCAAGAAATTTTTAAATGGTATGAAAGAGAACGAATTTTTGATCGGCCAGACATCGAACCTTTAATAATCAACTTTGAGAGTGATGAAGATTCAGATTCAGACAGCGCTGAAGAAAGAAACTCCGACTAACTTTATTGTACAGAAAAAGCTTACACCAGTAGCTTACCTAATTTTAGAATGCATTTTTCTGTATGAATTCTGTAAAATAAATACCATGCACAAAATTTGGAGGACCCCATTTGGATTTTTATTCAGTACCTTTAAGCTATCAATTAAATATGGTAGTTTCATAGTGTCATCTGATCAATAATTGTCATACTTAATGATTATGCAAGTATAGGTCTATAACTTTATTATACTATTATTTTTGTTCTCATTTGAGGTTAATATTGCTTATAAACCTAGATATGTAAATAATAAATTTTATTATTTTACAAAAAGTTTGGCAACAATGTAAATTTTTCAACACACCCACCTTGATGACGTGCACGCCACTTTGTTTGGCGTTGACTATACATGTATTGTCAGGCAGAATTTTAAGCTGTCAAATGCATAGGCGACGAAACGAGGGAGTGAGTATTCTAAAGGCGGTCTTCCACTACCTCGGACAATTGAGTTTATGTTCTGTTTGTACTTTCTAGAACCTGAAAAACTAACACGACCTAGCACGAAATTGAAGCAAAACCCGAAACTCCCGTTTCCATCAAGCAGGCTACATTTTGTTCGAGTTTCGTTTTTGTTTTCGGTCATTTCCCACTGGTTGTCACAAGGAAGTTAAAGCACCATCATAACGAACTAGCATAATTAAAGAAAGAAAAAGCTTTTCTATTCATAGTTAGGGCTGGTTGATACTAAACTCCTTGGAAAAAGTAAGTGTAATATGCATTGTATGTACGGTGTCTGTAACTATATGTCTACAAACTAGCCAAGTGTGAAAACGCTGTAACCGTACATTGGGTAATTAATGACTGAATAGTATTACTTCTTAGCAGAAAAATAAAATGCTAACACAGATACTTAGTTCGATCACATTTGTTTAGAAGAGTAATCGATGAACAATTGATGAATGATTTCCAAAATGATGTAATTGGATTCGTAACACGACAAATCATTTCATAATTTTTTGAGAATATCTGCCTCTGGTTTTGAGGAGACATTAATTGGCAGAAAGGTTTCACAAAGTTGAACACAAAGATTAGAGATTCAGTTTCTATTAAAGATCGATTAGCAGTTAACACTGAGGTTCCTTCCTTCCTTCGTTCCTGAGGATAGTTATATCAAAGCTTAATATAAATCCAGTGTCTCAAACAAATTACTTATTACAAAAAAAAAAAAGGTATTTACTGCGAAACTAAAAAACAACACGATCATTTCCACTAAATAGAGTCGAGTTTCAAAGCACGTCGAAACCTTTTGATGTGACCGCTTCCGACCGGGACACGAAAAACAAAACTTCAACTGGCTCAAAACACGCCAGGATTCAAAAAGTTTTCGGAAAGTTACAGGTTTGTTTTATTCGACAAGAGTTTTGTTTTTGTTTTGTCCGTCTAGTGGAAAACCGCCATAACCTGTTCCGAGTTCACTTTTTTGCCAAATAATAGTTTTCCGGTAATTGAGCAAGGTAACACAAAAATTGTATGAAAAGTTTGTAGAGTCTTTTGTATACATGCTCACTCCTATTGGCAGAAAAATATTAGTTCCTTGTATCACACCTAGAACTGGAAGAACGTTTGAATAATATTTCAACGTTTAAATGAAATAGAAAATTAAGCCTGGACATTCATAGCAGATACTGAAAACAGGAAATCATGAATGCCCGCAATATATGTTATTCTTGTTGAGAAACTGTTGCAAGATTTTCATAAAATCAAATGCACATGTCTTTGAAAATACATTTTCGTGACTCGTACTTTTTTCCTTAGAAAATAGGGGCACTAGGGCTGATGAACATGGACAGTAATGATACTATCAAGATAAAGTAGTGATTGAGAAATAATATCAAGGAAAATCGAATCCTACGATGCGGTAACAGAGTATGATCTTAAAACGTACAAAATATTAAAAAGGGAGATTTTCACCAAAATAAATTATTGTAATTTGAAAACTGTTACAATAGTTCAATGAACAACTATTGATATGTCACAAGATTGTGACGTGATAGAAATGTTTTATTTAACTTTCTACATTGTTTCTAACTCAAATCACAAGGAATTATTTACGTCATCAGAAAATATGTTTTGCTGACTAGTGTTGTTTTAATTGTAGTAAATAAATGACAATCATTCAGAGTAGCGGTGAAACCTAATAACCTAAGTTGATAGTGCTTTACTTACGTAAGTGTTAAGTTGACCATATCTTCAGGCAACATGGGATGGAGGACTTCCATGACGATGATGACAAAATTATAGTCAACGTGCAACAAGAACATTTATTAGAGATAATTCTAACAAGTGACATATTAGAATATCATGAAGATTGCAGAATCGACTAATTTGAGTATAATACTTCCGGGTGCTTGAGCTTGGAATGTCGCCTAAGATTCCCCACAATACAGGTCTTATAAGAACACAGCATACAAGCAAACTGTGGCTCTTTTTGACATTGATAACGTATGTGGAATTTCAAGGAACTTCCATGCTTGTACTGCTTCCCACATCTGTTACATTGAATGTTAAATTCTAAAAAGCAAACATCATTTAATCATACGTATACCAGATTGCATACGCAACTAGGTGCAAATCTGTTTGACATGACACACAAAATGTAAGTCTTTGACCAAATAGATAATGATAAGTATCATACATGGAATCAGAAAAAAGCGTCTATCATTTTTTATTGAAAACACACAGTGTGCTCGATTTGGAAAAGAATTATTCGAATTTTATGAGATACCCTGTATATAAAAAGATGTATGTATGATTGTATGTAAAACTTTATATTAGACCCCTACAGAAAAGTTACTGGGTGGAGGAATTTTGTAGCAGGACATCCTGTAGATGTTTCGAAATAAATATAGTAGAGGAAAGGCGCCTAATATGAGATAGGTTCCTAATTTGAGATAGCTGAATATCTTCCATAATACGTGTTGCCATCTAACGGTAGTCATGCCAGACGTTAAGCATGGACACAAACCTTATTATATATAATCTAGTTCTATATTTGCTGCTGTCAGTAAAGGACTTTTTTTAAGTGCTCTGTGTTTCGTGTAGCTGTAATCCAGAAGGTAAACTAATGACGTTTTAATTTTACCCAGTCTACTATTTACGTATACGACAATCTTTTACGCTACATTTCTTAATTTGATTTGATTTTTTTATTATTAAAATTCACTTTTTGTAAAATGAACGTTTGGACTCCTAATATGAGACACCTAGAGGTTCGCAATATGAGGTATCTCATATTACGAACAAAATTATTTTCAGGCCCAAATTCCAGTAACTGTTCCTATTAAAGTTTTTATTTTTTTAATTAGATGCCTAAGCAAGGAATAAAACGTAAACAATGGGACAAGGAAGCCATGGTTAGGGCTGTTCAAGCAGTTAAAAATAAGGAAATGGGATACCAAAAGGCCTCTCAAATATTTCAAGTTCCAAAAGGTAAATAAATTTAAATTTTGTAAAATATACTGTTCTAATTAAAGTTTTTTTTTCAGGGACTATTGAAAGGTATGTAAAGGATGCAAGAAGTGTACATGAGTTGGCATCTACCAGTTTGGGTAGAAAGCCAGCTTTGACTTGTGAAATGGAAAAGATGCTGGCGGAATATTGCATACAAATGGAAAAAAAGTTCTATGGATTGAGATGGCAAGACGTTAAACACATGGCATTTCAGTTAGCCATTCGAAATGGACTACGACATCCTTTTAGTCAAAGAACAGGAAGTACGGGGAAAAAATGGCTAAGAGGATTTTTGGCAAGACATCCTGAGTTATCCGCCCGTACTCCCCAAGCAGTATCTGCAGCAAGAGTAAAAGGGTTTAATGCTGAAAGTGTTACGCAATTTTTCGACATTTACGAAAAAGAATTAGAAAAAATTCATCATTCACCCCACAGACTATTTAATGTCGACGAAACTGGAATAACAGTAGTCCAACACAAACAAAGTAAAGTTTTGAGTTCAAAACGAAAAAAGCAAGTTTGAGCAATAACGTCCATGGAAAGGGGAAAACTAATTACAGTCGTCACATGTATGAACGCCGTTGGTACATATGTTCCTCCTCTTCTAATATTTCCGAGAAAAAATATGTCTGAACCCTTGATGGAGGGTGCACCTGTTGGGTCTATTTGGGCTTGTCATCCATCTGGGTGGATCCAAACGCATATTTTTACGCAGTGGTTTGCACACTTTATTAAGTTTACTAAACCAACAAAAGATGATCCTGTTTTATTGATACTCTCACTACTCACATACAGGAATATTGAAATAATAGAAATGGCCAGGCAAAACCATGTATCTGTTGTCTGCTTACCTCCCCACGCAACACATAAAATGCAGCCTCTTGATGTAGGCTTCATGGCACCTTTAAAAACATACTACGCGCAGGAAATCGAAACCTTTCTTAGAAACAATCCTGGAAAACCAGTAACAAATAATAATATTTCTTCATTACTTGGAAAAGCTTACAACAAAACAGCTTCTATGGATGTGTCAATCAACGCATTCAGAAAAACAGGTTTGTTTCCCTGCAACAGAAATTTTTTTAATGAAGTTGATTTCATTGAAAACAAGGTGAACAGTAATATATAATCTGAGGACAACGAAATAAGAAATAATGATGTAATTGTCGCTCCTCATTTAGTTCCTCCCACTAAGCCACTGTTGGTGTCTCCCCAAGATATACAGCCGGTACCATCAACTTCGGGGACTTCCAATAATTCCAGGAGAAGAAAGGGCTCAGCAAGCCTCATTACGTCAACTCCATATAAAACCTTTTTAGAAGAAGCTGAAAAAAACAGGAAGAAAAAAACAGATGCTGGTCAAAACAAATTAAATATTAAGGAGGGAAAAGGGAAAATATCGAAGAAAAGAGTACCAGTGGTAAGCAGTTCGGAGTCAGAGGAATCGGAAATTGAATACAATGATTCTAGCGAAGAAGATAATGATGACGCAGAGTGTCAATTTTGTCGGGGATGATATTCGGAAGATATACATGGAGAAAAATGGGCACAGTGTACCATGTGCTTTCGCTGGACTCACGAAGAATGTGAAGAAGTCAGTGGCAATACATTCGCTTGACCACTTTGTGAAAAACAAGGCAAAAAAAGACTCTTGTTTGGCTAAAGCAAATTAATCTTAAAATATGTTTTGTTAACTTTTGTTTTGTGCAGCTGTGAAGGATAACCTTTTTTCAATAAAATATGCATAAATAAAAACATGTATTTAATTGGTTCCTAATATGAGACCATCTCATATTAGGAACCTTTACTATCTCATATTAGGAGCCCCAAAATCGAACATGTATAAAATGCATTTTTAACTAATCACAAGAATATTAAAATTCTAATATATTTTTTTTATTTATCGCTAAGGAAAGTAAGTTATAAACACTTCAAAGAACCTGCTTCACTAGGTTTTCACAATAATAATAGGAAATATGGCTCAATTCAGACCAAAATGTATCTCATATTAGGCACCTTTCCTCTATACTCGTAATCTATTTCAGCTGTTCGCAAGGATTCTGAACTTGTGCCCATGCCTGGTACACATATGGCTCTGCAAATTAACCTTATGCTTAGTCTTATAGGAACAAATGGTACACTGAAATCGGGGCTCCTTTAAGCATTCGTATTTTTTGTGTCGGAACAGTGAGCTACGCTGCCTGTAGCTTTTGTTGCAGACCTCACAAGCAAAACCTAGAAAAACAATATGATATTGAAAAGCCACAAGCTTCCTACATTTAGACTGATATATGAGAAATTGGAAAGTTGTTAATGTTTTTTTATGAGGGAATAGGTAATAGGAAATCGCGATTCTGGCGAAACTTAATCAATTACCTATTCATGTTTAACCGTTTTTGACGTCTTGAGGGATTAAATCGATCTGAAAAGGAAATACGAAATAAGAAAAAATGAAGTAGATCCAACTTCGTCGCTCCATTGACTAGGATCTGAAGCTTATAATGATGATTGTTTCCAAACATGGCAATTTGTACCAGTTTATCTGGAGTCTACCCAAAAATAATAATGTGCATTGGTTCGTTTTTACATTTATTTGTTTTGACGTGCTTATATACATTTACTTTACCTTTGGCGAAAATAATACTATACTATATACGTATAAGGTCCATTCTCTAGCTTATAATTAGGAGATTGTGAAAAATGCTTCCAGAGAAAACTAGACGAGTTTAAAGTTTTATAGATTTACATCCACTAACAACTCCAACTAGAACTCAGTTTTAGATTGACCTAATGCTGTGCGTAATGGATATACCTTGTGCTTGTATTGTCAGACAAATTAATGACTAGTCAAAGACGATTTTACCATTTCTTAGATATGGTTTCACAAAAAAAGCTATGCAATATCATGGTTGAAACATCCAAATGGATGAGCACAATTGAGGCACTGAGACTACATCAGTCCGTTTAGGGTCACTAGAAATAAGGCTCATTTGGTGCAAAAGACACCCAATAGCTTAAGCTGTGAACATATTCTACCTGAACATAGCCAATCTAGTGCTATTTTCCCGCGCCCAAAAAGTTTACCGAGATAAAATGAGATGCGATGTTTATTTACTCTATGAACTTTGACAAGGTTAGTATCTTATAGATGGTGCTTGCCCATATGAGCATAAAAAATAGAAATCATGATGTTGTAGCCGTAACGTAATCGATAATCAGAAAGCCAGAACCTGTATTCATATCAAGTTTTCGAAAATGTTTATTTTCTTCTCCAGGAAAGACTGAAGAAGAAACTACATTTTCAACGGCTTGATATGAACCAAACTTCCTTTCTGGCCTTCTCATTTTCGATTGAGATTTCTATTTTGCATTTTAACTAGCCAGCCAAGATTTCTCTTCTAATATGAGCATACTCAAGCTCCGGGGATCACTGTGCAATTTATGATACACTAACCTTTTCAAAGTATATATAGTAGATGAAGAAACAGTTGCGACAAGTTTTCATAGATGACGTAACCGTCTCATTTTACCTCGGAGAATTTTTTGGACGCGGTAATATGCCATAAGGCTTACTGTCTTGAGGTAGAATACGTTATTCAATGCTGCAATCGATCCCACGTGTCGTGTATAGCACCAAAGGCGGATATGATGTTTGTTTGCCTGTCACACCTACATAAAAGCTGCAGATTCTGTTCAGTCAACGTCAATACTTTTGTTACCTTTGTTACTACAATAGTTTGCCTTCGAGGATACACAGGACCATTTTAAGATACATAGTGGCCCTTGGGCATTCAGCAAGCTTGGAACCTGTGGCTGAGGTAAGATCTTTTTTAAAGTTAGTTTTCATATTTGGGGTCCTCCCATGAAGGCAGAGTTCTGAGTACAGATCACGTGTATCAGTACAGTAAATATGGGATAGAGAATACATAAATAATTTGTGTATTGCGACAAGTATACGACCATATTGTGACTGCTAGATATAGCCTGTAAAGTAATATTCTCACCAAAAGCAACCTGATGGCAACTCGATTTGCAGTTACTAGGTATGCACTTCCAAGAAGTAAGAATACGGAATACAGATAGACTATTTCTATACTTAACAACCATGACTAAAAGATAAGTGTATAAGTAATGTATGTACATATAAATAACAGACACAAGAATCAGTCAAGGTATTTGATATTTCTTCATTTACCAAGTACTCCCAATACTGAGCAAGGATAATCAGTGCTATGAACATTCTGTGGAAGGTAGTACCTTGTAAGCTTGTCACACTTATTGTAGGTATGAACTCCGGCTCTCCTAGAAGGTTTTCAACAGTGCCGCTCCAACAAAATCAATGGCATTTCGAGGAGATGGTTGGAACGTCAGCTGAAGTCTCACAATAACATCCAAAAGTCGAAATAGGTTAAAGTTGAATTGCTTTTGGTGAGAACAGTGACTAGACACTCAACCGAAGCAAAATAAATTTCCCTAATCATATTAGTTGAGGAACTATTACACATCAATACTAGACTTAAAAAATAATAGCACTCATTTGAAATCCATCCATCCATCCATTTTTTCAGCTTTAGGTAACATTTTTCTAAAATGATAGGCATTCATATGGCTCTTCAAGTTGAACTTCAGATGTGCTCTGTGTCCACAACCCTCTATGGGGCACTTGAATTGTGGTTCTTTGCCGCATTGATATTTCTGATGTTGCAACAGCCCGTTTGGCCTGGAGTACCTCTTGCCACAAGCGAAACATGCATGCCTCCTTTCTGCCATAAAACCTAAAAAACACAGTAAATAAGTTCACTAAAATCATCGCTGCGAAACAAGTCGTGTCCACTTTTCTGCAAAGCTTAAAATATGAAATCGAAACAAAAAGCAAATTGAAAGATTAGATTGTACTCTAGCATGTATATTTAACAGCATCATCATATATTTAAAGTGCCTTTTTTACTTCTAACCGAAGAAATCACCATTATTGACCTTAGTGCACCACTAAAAACTAACTTTTCTCTCCCTAGGTAGATAATGATGAAGAATACACTGTAGGTCTGTTCACTATTTTTAGCGAGTCACTGTGAAATTACAGAAATTACTTGCAAATTGTTCTCAAAGTTCTACTTTGCAGTACTTGAAGACTTTGCATGTGTGTCTTGGCAAGAAAATATCAAGCCGCACATGCATAAGTAATGGCTGGTCTAATAATCATTTTATATAGGCGAACTTTGTTTATCAAACTCAATTTGGAGGATCTACATAACAAAGGATATAGTTGCCGAAACGCAATTTGGAATTTTGTTTTCAAGGCTGCTGTATGTTTCTGCCAGGTCATGTCTTTATCACTGGTGACACCGAGATACTGGGCGGAATTCGTCCATGGTACACGATTGCCGTCTACAGAAACCTCTTCTGGGGGGCCGCGACGTTTTTTGGGACAATAAATAGCCTGCGTTTTGGAATGATTAATTTTAATCAGCCACCGTTCCGCCCACTCTAGTACTTCCTCCACCGCAGTCTGCAACCCATCGTGAACCAGATCACCAGTACACGACTGGGCGACAAGTGCAGTGTCGTCAGCATAGTTGCTGGGGCAAGGGACATCATGGATGAAAAGCGAATAAAGAATTGGTCCTAGGACCGAAGCCTGAGGAACACCGGCCCGTACTGGCCGTCTTGTAGACAAAACATTGTTAGTTTTGATCCGAGACTTCCTTCCTTCAAGAAAGGATTTCAGTAATTTTAGAAGTTAATTTGCATGGCATGGACGTGTGATTTATTGACCTTCGATGTGAAACATATGAGAGCCTGAGGAACGTTGGCAGTCTATACGAGAAGTTTTTTTCAGAAATTGAGTGAGAACAACAATGCTCTATCACCCAACTCATGTGTGTGTGCAAGAGCGAATAGCAGCTGGGTTACAGATCAACCTGCGCAATGTAAATATTTAAGTCTTATAAAATCAGATGTAGTGCTTTATTGTGTTACTAGTAAAACAAATTCCATACATACCTCGTTTGAGGACGCCATTTTTGACATCACTTGGCATCACACGCGTCAGCATATAAAAGTGAGCAAATAAGTCTGGTTTTGTAATGAGGTATTTCTTTATTGTTTCAGCTGCTAAAGCAGAGCGTAAGTAGCGAGGTACTAAAGGAATTGAAACGCTTCTTGTCGATACGATTTCTGAACTGCCTAAGGTTACTGAAACTCGATGGCAAATTAGTGGCTATTCCAGTGCGTTTGTGATAGCTATTAGGAGAAGCCAAAAGACTCGAAGGTGCGTCTGGCAGGTCTAAAGCGCGTTAGCATCTGCAACATGGAGGAGAGTACACAGGAAAAACATCGCCCATCGATGTAAGACAGAAACTCTGATAAGGAAGTGTCACTGGCCAGTCTGAACGTAAAGGTATTCTTTTTGGTGACCTTCTACTTCGTACCTACTGATGAGGTCGACTTACAAATATTATTTGACAAAATATCAATGTTGAAGCTGATACGAAATACTGGGCCGATTTCTGATATAACGTTTATTTGACGTTAAAGACACATACACACAAATGAACCATATATCTTATAAACTAGATACCCTTATAGCCTTATATATATATATATATATATATATATATATATATATATGGAAATAAATAATATACTTACGTTATATATATTATATATATATATATATATATATATCTATATAAAGAGAAAATTATCATGCGGAGAAAGGTATATAACAAAAATAATAAAATAATGGGCAAAATCCGCAAAAAGTGGATTCGAGCAGAAATAGGATAGGTAACCCGACCGATACGTATTTCTGCTGGTTGGCTTCATCAGGCCCGAAATGAATGCACATATGCAACTACAAAAATTGTCGCCTTGAAAATTCGAGGTCTTCTAGCCATTTTATACTACAATGTGTAGGTTGGCTCTTGTTGTGGACTTGTGTGTCTTTTTTTCTTTTCCATCTTCGTTTCCTCAGGTTACACCCGTATCCGGATGTGTGGGCATGTGTATCTACTTTTGTAGTTGCATATGTGCATTCATTTCGGGCCTGATGAAGCCAACCAGCAGAAATACGTATCGCTCGGGTTACCTATCCTATTTCTGCTCGAATCCACTTTTTGCGGATTTTGCCCATTATTTTCCTATTTTTGTTATATCTCTATATATATATATATATATATATTTATATATGCATACTAAAAACTGTACTGAATTATACACTAAATCATGGTAACCATGCTCTTAGTACATAAAGTTTTGAGTAAGTATTAAAGTATTTTGTATTTGACTAGATAAAATTCCAAACAGCAAAGATCGAGATCAAAGAACCCTTATTCAAACAGAAAATTCAAAATAAGGGATGTCATACCAGTTGCGTATGTCTAGCACCCATTCCATACTAATGCGATATGCTACAGGAAAAAAACCTGAATGTACATAATAGACATTTGCGCTATATTTTCGTATATATATAGTAACAATAATGTTTGTCTAGCAGAACGTTTGTACCAATTTTCAGTCAGCAGCAAAGGTTGCTGCTCCGAAGATAATATACAATTCCAGCTACTTTTCAATAAAAATTAATCGGCTACTGAAGCATACCAAGATTTGTGTTTGGCTGCCATATGAGTTTTTAAATTGGCATTTCTGTAAGATGCGTACTGACAAATGGGACATTTTTTGTTTTTCTCCCTGCCGCATTCTCTCCTGATGTGCCTTCTGTACGTATCTTGTCTAGAATACGATCTGTTACACTGCCTACATACCAACAAGAAACCTGAAATCATATAGTATGTCATTATGGAATACTCTACAATTATATAGAATTTGCTCAATTTCTTCAAACTGTAGACATCGGATTTGTTCTAGAACACAATGGAGTTCAGATATTATTAATAAAAAGCGGCAGATATCAAAGCTGTACGTAATTTAATTTTCTTGGAGGACACCTATTCACATTTCAAAACATTGGAAGAACTATACGAGCAAAGTATTGAAATATCGATTTTGATGCCTGTCAACTGAGTCAAAAAATTTTATACCGATTTCATACTATTGCATACAACAATGCGTATATTTCTCACAAATAACAACAATGTAGGAATCGATAACTATATCCAATAAAAGATCCGAATAAAAGACAGGTTTTAAGCCAGCATCTGAATTGAAAGTAGTTTTATTATATGATTTCAATAACCAAATTCATTACCAAAATTACAATGAGAAGTAAGCAAATTCTATCTGACTACACTACTAAAATATCTTAATAGTCTAGGCTTTTAGCCGTAAGTGCACTGTTGTTAGATGTGAATAAAATTGGGCATTATAGATAAAAATACCACATAAATTATTTCAGTGCTCCTTTCGTCGATTTGTGATTGATTGAAGCTCATTCGAAAAGGACCAATTTCGAGAGACGTCCTCGAGATGGTCGGTAAGACACTCACGTTTTTCAAGACACTATGTACACTCTAAGTCCTAACGCGGGACCAACACATCAAAATAAAAATGGAATAACAACTGCTTAGTACGTTGTAGGTGTGTTTAATTAGAAATCAATGTTACTCAAAAAACATTCACAACACAAGTCACAATTATAGAATTATACAGAGTCTGAAAGATGTCGCACGCTGATATGTCTTTTCATATTTCCTCTAATGTAAGTTTTATAGGGACAGTGAGGACAAAATATGGATGCTTCCTTTCCACAGTAAACTTTCGCATGGTGGTACAAGCAATGTCTAGTTTTGTAGGCTTTACCGCATTTCTTGCAGATGTACTTGTAATCTGCAATAAAAAAATATGTTTAGCTATGAAATAACTAGTCTCTATTTTCACCAGATGCTCACCTTTGTTAAAGTACTCAAACCACAATGTTACTGGTCTTCATTGTCGGTTACAATTTCAACCAGTACCAAAATCGTGTGGAAGTTTTTTTTTGCTTCCCATGCATACGAAATCCCAAATAATATAATAATGGTTTGGAAATGACCTTTGTCTTCCTGATGCCATTGCACTACATGGAAAAATGAATTAGAAGGCATGGGAAGTATAAGGTCAGTCTTCTTGATGCCATTTCTCAAATGTGTAACAAGAAAATAATTGATTCCAGGTTCTTAAACATTGCAAATTATGGCATGGCACTGTTTAAAACTGTGCGGTACTTTGGGATTTCACTCGAGGGATTCGGATTGAATAAAGCAATTTTCAGAAAAAAATATAATAAGCACAACAGATAAGTAGAATTTAGAGTTTATTTCATCATTTTATGTCAGAGGTAATACTATCAATTATTTAGTATGTAGTAATGCATTTAATACGAAGTCAAACAAATTCGTAAAATTCAAGATACTATTAAAGTCTGAACTATGAGCCAGAAATGTGTTTCAAAATGATGTCTTTTCATATTTCCTTTTACATAAGTTTTATAATACTCTTTTCCAGAGTAGACTTTGGAATGGTGCTACAAAAATCTCTAGTCTTCTGCCTTTACAACCCTTTTGACATTGTATATACTTGTATATAAATAGATAAGACTTATCACCACGGTACCACTGGCTTTGCTCCGTACTTGCTCTTTAGAGTTGAAACAAGGAGTTCACCGAAATCATCACCAGGCTACATTTCAATATATGTGCTAAGAAAATACATGATTCCATGTTCTCAAAAATCGCAATTTATAAAGTACCAGCCTCCAGAACTGTAGCAGACATAATCTAAAGTAAAGGTTGATTGACTATAAAATAAATAAATAACATACAAGTGAAATTATAATTTATTTCACCATTTTTTATAACCATAGGTCATACTATCTGTGAGGGCACTGATCTGCTCTTGTGTCATTCCATGTTGTAACAGCATGTGCCTCTTTAGATTCGACTTCAGATTGCTTCTGTACGAGCATCCAGAATTTGGACAGCTAAATTTGGACTCCCTATTGCAATAGTACAACTGGTGCACGTATAGGGACCTTTGTTTGTCGTATGCCTTTTGACAGTTGGGACACTGGTAAACTAAAAGCATGTATATGTGATAATAATGAGTATTCACCTAAATCTAAAAATCCCAAGTTTTTCAAGACTGTACATTTAAAATCGAAGTATCATAGCCAGTTTGCACAAGAATTCGTATAATGTTTTGAAGTATCCGTACACACAAATACACACATATTGAGAAAAATAAAATGGAAATAGTTACACATTCACATCATGTCTAAGAAACAAGTGAGATTTCAAGTTTGCATTCTGCTTAAATCCGGTATTACAAAAACGACATATGAACGCAGGTTCCCTCTGACACTCATATTTTTTATGTCGCCATAATGACCTTTTCTGCATGTAATCTCTGCCACATATATCACAGTAGAAAGAAAAGTTTTCTAAAACAAAAATTAGAATTATTTTTTAGGAAACAGGTTTATATCAGTACGTGTATTTACTTGGCTTCTGTTAAATTAGACTACAAACCATCCAGAGTTTTACCACTTTTTCAGTATACCTAACGCGTATTTCATTATAATTTTATTGTGACGCATCTTGGTCATAGATATAGATGTCATGCATTTTTAAAACGAAAGGATAAGCTCTACTAACATGAGAAAACACCATTATTGAATATAATGGTAAATTCAGAAGTTCCGTCCCTCAACCTAGGTAAACAATGAAATTAAAAAAAACACTCAAATAAGCAATTGTCATTTAGGGCCGTATCGACAGTCGTTCCTTCAATTGTCGCCTTTATGGCCTCTTTGATTTTCATAGTTTTTCTAGTGCTCCGTGTCAGCGCTCTATTTTGAGGTTATGTTACAAATATCTACTTGCATCAAATTGTTCATGCTTTTGATTTATATCATCTGTTATATAAGCCTGAAATTTCATACAATTCAAAAACAAAGCATAGCCTCACATTAGGATAGAGCATTTCTTTTTCTAAACAGTTCAGATTAGCTCTTATTTTCAAGATATAGAATCTACTGCCAATTTTTTAAATGTACCAGGTAGGTAATACCAAAAATGACCCACCTCGATCAGTCAGTTGTGACTGTTCTGACTGAACGGTTTTCTAAACTATTCTGGGATTTTTTGTAAACAACATTATTGTATAAACATGTTAAGTAGTTCTTCAGGTATGTAAAAAAATCCCATTGTTTCTTAAATGAACAATATTTGAATAAGAAACAGGTGCATGTTCTTGTTTAGTATTATTATCTTGGCTAATGATTAATGTTTCTAATTTTCTGTTTTAGATGTCACGAAAGTGTTTCTGTGCCGTCGGTAACTTTTGTCACGTATGCGGTGGGATGAGTTTTGCGCCCAGCTGTAAAGACAGCTTATTTGTATTACTTCGGTGTGAAGATAGGTAACCAGGAAAAGTCGTGGGTCTCAGATGTTTGTTGTAACTCTTAGTCAGTCTGCGAGAGTGGCCAAGGCAGAAGAAATGCGCAATGAGGTCTGCTGTACCCATGATCATTCATGTATTCATAATTTATTGGTCTCTGTGCTGTTCGCTCAGTCAACCAGCTCAAGTGAAGTGTCCTGGGTAGTCTGGCTTGAAGCGATACCATAGGAACTAATTTTTAATTAACTCCTTGAAGCACGGTTGGCCAACAAAGGAGAAGGCACCGGTGAAGTAACGGTCCATCGCTCATTCTGCCAATTACCAAACTACCTCAAAATTATGAAATTGGGAAAGATGATGATGAATGAGAATAGGAAGAAGTAGGCGTTAGGCATGGGATTTCCCATGACCCAGATTTCGAGACAAAAGGTTTGAGTGAGCCCCACACACTAAGTCAGAGAGAACTGAGTAAGAGATCTTGACTTGTCCCAGAGGGCAGATCTTCTTGGTTCAAGACCGATGCAATGGCATCTACTCTAACCAGGAGTCAATATCACATAATATAGGACACTGCATTTGATGCCATTTTAGATGGGAAAGGAAAATCAGCCTGGGAAGCTTTTAAATGTTTGGTACGGAGATTTCTAGGCAACAGTTCGGAACTCCAACACCGGTATATGGATGCAAAATGTCTATAATAATACAGTTATTCCACTCTCATATTCATTTTTTCTCTGAAAACTGTGGAGCTGTAAGTTAAAGTCATCATGAAAGACCGACATGTATCTGAAATGGAATGCAGATATTAGGGTCGTTGGAAAGAGTCAATACTCGCCGATTACTGCTGGACACTTACAAGAGGACAAAATACAAAAGTCAGTACAAAAAAAAACGACAATATGAACAAACGATTGTATGAGATTATCATTTTATTAAACATTATTTTTCCATTTGAACATTTTTTAATTTATTTTTATTCAAAATTATACAGCATTATTAATTTATCTTTAAATCGATGTATACAGTGAACTGTTTATTTCAAACACAAAAGCTAAGAAGTTGGTGGGATTTGACTACTTAGACCTAAAACCAGATAGAAAAATGTTTTTGTTCGCTTTCAATTTTAACAGAACGAAAACATTTCTACCTCATTTGAATGAGCCAATCCAAACCAAGTCGTCTGTCTGCTACATTCACTGTTTTCAGTTTGTCAGTTTGAAATGGAATATTTCGTAATAAATAGCGTGAGTAGTGGAAAAATTCTATACATACCTTGTTAGACAAGACCATTATTAGGTTATAAAAGTGCCCGCCCAACGATAGCCCACTTCTCAAGCTAAGTGTAATATAACATTATTACTAGAATTACTGTACCGATTTGTACAATCCGGACTTTTTTGCTTTGAGTACATGTCAGTTTTCAAATGACCGTAATATCCAAAAGACGCGAAACATAAGCGACAGGTAGATGCAGGTACTCGAATATTGTATGTCTTGCCAATGAGCCAGTGAGTAATACCTTTTCCCACAGTTTTGACAGTGTAAAAATGTGCTTTATAAAAACGAATCGAAAAAACCGTAACCTGATAGAAAATCAGAATTAAAAGTTTTGTATGTACATATACATATGTAAAATTACAGAACTATCTTTCTTCTTGATTGGTTGTCCTGTCACCGAATATGAGACACTATCGCCTGGTTATATATTTTTTCTTACTTGTATGTCTCTTTCAGCCTTAAATCATGAATATTTATGGCCGATTCCAAACATTGAACTTAAAAACTGCAATCCTCGTATATCGGTTTTTATTGGTTTGTATTTACCATATGCGTTAAAAACTGCTGTTTGTGCTATCTAATAAGGCAGCGACATGATAAGAAGACTGGTCAACCACAATATCAATTGCTCATCATATTACCATAGAAAAATAATTATATTCAGAGGAAGCATTATCACTGAATGGTAAAACTGATATATCGTCGGTGATACTGCAATATGTCGTATGTCACAAAAATTGCAATTTTTTGTTTATATATCCATTGTAACCAAAATACAGTCCTCTATGCCCCTGCAAAATGTTGTATATGAAATTTGAACAGGTACCCTGATTGTTTACACATACAAATATGTCGTATGTTTTTCTTGACAAAACTGGATACTTCAATATGCCGTATGTCAGAATCATGCTCTCCGTCTATGTCGTAACGCTACACAATTGGATATTTCGATACGTCGTATGTCACTTAAATTATTATACATTTTAGGTTAGCTGCAAGCAGTAACGTGTCAGTAACAACTAAATGTGAGTTTTGTGATAGTTTTTTGAGTTTACATGGTGAGTTTGTTGTTATTTTCTTAATTTAAACTACAAAAACGTAGTGTTTGTAGTTTTTAGTCAAGAAATACCATAATTAACAAAAAAAAAACAACAATATTATTTTGTATAACCTTAATTTTTTCTGAATAAATATATTATATCAAAACGGCAAGTAAAATTCACGTAGGTTATTTATTCCTTTTCTCTTTAATGATATGATTTATTGTAGTAATTAATCGATTTTTTTGAACACTGTGTGACATACGATATTTTACATTCCAAATTTAGCTTTTATTTAGTATTATTTCTGTTTGTTAAGTATTGACATACAACATATTGCATCTTTGTTTTTTTTTATTTTCAGTGAATCCATAATGTCAAACAGAGCGCGACTGTTGGTGGAACTAGCTCGAAATTCAGCATCTAGTGCAGTAGCCTCTCACCAAGTGCCCAAAGACGATAACATTAACAATTTTGCGACCCAATTGAACGATGCATCAGATCCTCAAAGAACAGAGAGCATGGTTCAAGTGTCAGTTCAAGATCTATTAGGAAATGCAGAATTGGTAGATAATCCAATTTTAACAGTCCTAGAAGTGGCAGAAATCCCAAAAGAAACATCGTATTCCAAAACTGATGAAAAGTTATATTATTTGGAACAAAACACAGATTCTGATAGTGGTATTGTACCAATAATTGACTATCAGGAAGAAGTTGTAGCAGATGAAGAAGAGGTCCATGATGCAACTTCAGATACTGAAAGACATTCAGAACCAGATCCATTTCAGGAAAGTGGCAGCGAGTATCTGCCAACAGATACTGACTCAGAAAATAGTTTAGGAAACGAAAACGTTGAAAACCAAGGAGGTGGAAACCAAGAAGATCGTCGGACACCGGATGGAAGAACAAAAAAACGTAAGAGTAAAGGGCAAAGAGATCCATCGCAATGGAAACGAGCAAAAAATTCGCAAGCGAGACTTAAAGGCCATGCATACATGGGATTTCAGAAAAATACTGGAGGCAAGTACCAGCAAACAGTCTGTAGAGTTCAGCGCAAAGTAAAGCCGTCATGTGGGGGACACAAAAATGACTCTAAGGGACCACAACAAAAATTTGAATGTTTGCAAATTACAAATGAAATGCGTAATCAAATATTTCAATCTTTTTGGGAAATTAGTTCTTGGGAAGGTAAAAAAATTTATGTAAGTAGTCTTGTACTGCACTCTCAGCCCAAACACAGAAGACGAAACACTGCAGAAGAAGAGTCTCGAAAGAAAACAGGGTTTAAATATTATTTAATAACTAAAGATAATCCAGAGTCTACCAAAAAATATCACGTATGCAAGAAAATGTTTTTAGCCACTTTAGGTATTGGAGAAAGATGTGTAAGAGAATGGGTTTTAAACAAATGTTTACCAAATATGGAGCTAGGTATTGAACCGGCTTTAGTAGAGCCACCTCAGGATTCCGAATGCACAAAAAATGTTAATCAATTCTTAGACAGCTTGCCTAAAGTTGAATCGCACTACTGTCGAGCATCCACTAGGAAACTTTATTTGGAACCCACTTGGAATAGTTACAGACATTTGCATCGTGAGTTTATTAACTATTGTGAACGTCAAAACCTAAGATCTTGTTCTTGGAGACTTTTCTATAAAACTTTTAAGACAAGAAATCTTGAAATTTATACACCTCGTAAGGACCAGTGCAACACATGCGTGAAGTTTAAAAAGGGAAATTTAAGTCAAGCAGATTACGATAGTCACGTTGCCAAGAAAGAACAGGCACGGTCAGAAAAAGAGCACGACAAACAAGAAGCTATCTCATCAGAGGCAGGAAACTCAAAGTATGTCTACACTATGGACTTACAAGCTGTTCTTCTTTGTCCTTTTACCCAAGCCTCCGCCATGTACTATAAACAAAAACTGAAGGTTCACAACCAAACATTTTTTAATCTTAATAACAAAGATGTGTCTTGTTATTTATGGCACGAGGGAAATGGAGGTTTAGACAGCGATGTTTTTGTTTCCATTTTAGTAAAGTTTCTTAATGAAGAGATAGAAAGGCAGAGCCCGAAGGTAATAATCCTATGGAGCGACGGTTGTACCTACCAAAACAGAAATGTGAATTTGTCAAATGGTTTGCTGGAGATAGCCATGGAAAAAAATATTATTATTGAACAAAAGTACCTGGAGGTAGGACATACCCAGATGGAGGTGGATTCAGTCCATAGTGTAATAGAGAGAAAGCTGGGAAGAAGAAATGATATAGCTGTTCCCGCCGATTATAATAAAATTATAAGAGCGGCCAGGCAAAACCCATCCCCTTATAAAGTAGTGTCTCTGCATTTCAACGATTTTTTGCAATACAAAAAAGGAATGTATTCACAAATTCGACCTGGAAGCAAAAAAGGTGATCCCTGTGTTACAGACAATTGTGCATTGCAGTATCTTCCTGAAGGACTAATAAAATACAAAATAAATTTTTCGGATGAATGGCTCGAACTGCCACGTAGACCATGTCGTACTAGAACTTCTTTCTCTCACGAACCTCTATATTTATCTCCTCGCCAAATTGAGGATACAAAATTCATACATCTTCAAGAATTGAAATCTGTCATCGAATCAGATTACCATGGATTTTATGACAATTTAAAGCACAGCTGCAAGTCTGACCAAGTTTGTTCACATATCAAAAATTAATATATTTTATTCTTTCCTGTTTATTTTAAGATTACATATTTGTTTAGAATTTTTTGTTTAGTTTTTCATTACGTAAATAAAAAGAATAGAACTGTTAAAAATTATTTTTGTGAGATGTATAATGGATTACAAAATTGTCGTATGTGACATAAATATTTCCATTTTCAATGCAATATGTCGTATGTAACGGCATTTTGCTTAATATTCCATTGAACAAAAAAATCGAGTTAAGTACTAATACCCTAATAGAAAAATACATAGTAGACAAAAAATAGCAATTTCAAATTTAAAATTGGTCGATAAAAACAGTTTTCTTTCTCTCCTGAAAAATTACCTCTTTTCGACATACGACATATTGCAGTATCACCGACGATATGATAACTGATCTAGATGTCTCTTGATACGCCGTGGTGCATAGCGGAGTGACACTTAAGATATCTCTTCTGTGAAAATAACTTTCCACATTCTTTGCACTGAAACTGCTTTGGCCTGTTGCACTCATACTTGATGTGCGCTACGACGTTCTTCCTATACTTGTACTTGCGTCCACACCTCTTGCAAATGTGAACCTGGATAATGGCATCGTAAGTATAATCTGAAATTTACACATTTCTTACATTAGACCCACAAGTTGGAAAAGAAATAATATGACTGAGATCGATGATAATAAATATCCGACCATCAAGTGACAGTTTAGTTGCAGTATGCTCATAATTGTTATAAGTTTCAAAATCAATACTTTTTTCTGAGTTTTGGTTGAGCTTCAGTATTTATACATACTCACCGAGCCTAGTCTATTACATATATGGGGAAATGTTTCGCAGAATGATTGTTAAAAATAAATGAACTACTAAGATGTTATGGAATGTTTTAAGTACTTGTATTTATTTACGTATACATATATCACCTAAAAAGCATTCGCTATAGTCAAATATATAAATATCACTAGGAAGCTGTATATGGAAGAAATCACATTGTATAAATAAAATAACTAACTATAATCATACATGCACGCACTGCTAAGTGGTATGATAAAATGTTAATATATCTTGACACCGATTCATACATATTTTAAAAAGTTTTTTAATGCTAAAACTACAGATATATGACCGCATCTGATGGGATAAATTACACAAAAATTGATTAGGTGACTAAAGCATAAATGCGTAGTTATTTAAAGCTTTGTAGTTATGTTTATGCAGTAAGCTAGATCTATATATGTTATAAATGGTCACTATTGTATTTTGTGAGTATTGTATACATCTCGTAAGTGTTAATTGGCAAGAATTAAAACTAAAAGCATAATCATATAAGTACATAACACCTACACAATTGTAACATTTACTTTATATGTACAGAATTATCCGAATGACATATGAGCTAAGCAGAAGGTATTATCTAGAGATTATTACAATTATTACTTCTCTTCCACCTCCTTTGACAAATCTAAGTACCATCATTTAACGGATAAGTATATTTAGAAACCACTTCTAAGTACTCGATACTATATTATATCAATGTAAATACCTGCATTGAAATATAACATATATTCCCTATACAGGGTGTCCGCAAAGTTGGAGTTTCTCTTTACACGACGTGTAGATCTTGAAAAATAAGCGGATTTTCTTAGTAGCATATACACCAATGTCTTAAGAGAACCGAGATATTGGGCTTCGTAAACTCAATCACACCTAAACCCAACCGCAGCCGTCCTGTCCTATACCTCGATCACGTCCACAGCGTCAGCATACAGTTATACGATGTACGACTAAGATGTAAATACGAATTTTACGACAGAACCGTACTTGGAATTTCAATTCAACTAAACAGTGAGTACTCTTTCATTTATTTTTTTTTTACTTGTTCGCTCACGTTTCACCACACATTAGCTTTGTTATATCAGCGTAGTTGCGCCTGAAAAGGAAAACTTTGCGGACACCCTGTACTTGTGCCTTACTAATTGATTGGTACCATAAATTATAACATGACGTCCACAAGTAACTTTGTACGAATATTCGTTACTCTTCTTTGAAGGTTTGTCACACAGATCAAATATCAGTTCCAATTTAATTAAAGATTTCCTCTATATCTATTCCAGATTATACCTACTTCTATAACTTAAGTTTATTATACTACTATGGAGTTTTACAAACTGCTTAAACTTGAAGACTATTGTCTACTTGTACACTTTTCTATCAACTTTTATTCAGAACAGGAGCTATTAAATAGCATTAGACCTTGGCCCACAAATGTCTTTCCTGAAAATGGTATCATTGGTGCCAGAAAATCGTAGTCGACTGACAGAAGGCCCGCTAAAAAATGTCTTCTCTCATATATTTTCAAATATTGCAAGTTAACAAAGTAAACTGGATGAAATTCCGCTTTTCTTCAAAATACGAACACTACATTTTAACTCTTTAGAGCTTCAAATATCGGTAAGCTTTTCACTTTGCAGATGCCATTCCTCTTTCCAGATAAGATCCAGTTGATTGACGCATGTTAACCACATTTGCTTGAAATACTGTTCACTGATGACTGTCACAGCTGTTGTGTGATATCATATGGCCTCAGTTTGGCTAACAATTTCATTACTCCGACTGCGGTTCAGATTTTGGCACAATCAACGACGTAGGCCTTGATTCAAGGCTCGTTGTTGTCGGTTCCATTTTAGGAAGAAATATTGGCTCAGGTTTCGGTTCCATCGGTTCAGTCTTAATCACCGCCAGCGGTTCGGTCTTAGGTACAAGTAAAGGCTCCATCAGTGGATCTGCTTTCGACTTATACTTCTTCTCCCTCCTCCTGTTTTGGAACCAAACTCTGATCACCCTCATGGGCAAACCAGTAACCTTTTCCAGCCGAGTTCTGATATCTTTGCTTGGAAAGGGGTTAACGTCAAAGACAGCTTGGAGCACTTCAACCTGCTTTTTAGAAATGACAGTTCTGTTTCTGGTTGAATGTCCAGGTTTCTCACATTCTGACGATGGCGTTGATGCAGGTCCGTAATTTGCTGGGGGAGGAGGCGGAGGTGGTGGTGGTGGGGGGAACAAGCCCCTGTCTTGTGCAGGCTGAGGTGCAGGTGGTGGTATTACTGGCGGGTACTGTGCTGGTGGATATGCAGGGTATACGTCGTAACCTTAAAAATAGTTCAGGTTAGTAATGAAGTGGAGCAACGGGAAAACATAAATATGAAGTAGAATTTGAATATAAGTAATAGTAACATTTTGAGACTTGAAGTTGAGAACGTTCGAAATATCTGAAAAAGATGATCTACCTAAACTTGTTTCGAACATCAGTAAAGATTATTTTACGTTAGGTTCCAATATTAATCTTTTGACGGACTACTTCACGTTATCAAATCCGATTTCTAAATAATATCTTGACGTGGGCTCTCCCATACAAGTGATGAATATTTATTTGTGTAACACGTAAAGTCAATAGCACATAAACGTGACATGACTTGACACATATTGTTATTATTTCAATCGCGGTACCAGTTCCGAACGGTTATGAACCATTCCCGCGCGTTCTTCATCCAGCTCCAGTGTATTTTGAACATTTATATAGAATAAGTATACAGAAACCAAAAAAGCTCGCAAAGAAGTCCGCACTGAGAAAGCGATTCCAGTAGAGCAGTTATTAAGGAAATTAACATTTTTTTTATTATTTATGTCAATATTTACACAGATACAGTCTATTTTCAATGGTACTGGGCCACTACTACAAACTCTTTCTGATTTCTCTTTGTACTTCTCTTCAGTGGCCTGTTCATGTTTTTTCGAATGAATCTCCCACCACTCTTGGTAATAATTCCTTATGTCATTCCGTGGGTTTGCAACTTCATATTTAAGAGCTTACGGTTTTCCATGTTATTTTTTCACAGTACATTTCAATACACAGCGCCACAGAATTGTAGAAAATTAAAGACGTTAGCTCAGCCGATTGTAATTAAGACACGTCAAATAATTTGCTTTCATAGCGATCGCGGTACTCAACAAATTGATCGCTGGTAATTCGAAAACCGTTCGGAAAATGATTCGGGATTTGTACCGCGATGAAAGCTGTTATTAACACAATCTCCCCAGTAATCCAGCAGCTCAAATATGGTATTAGTCTAAGTGTTCGGGTTTCGGGATAAAATAAATAATGTGTTTAAATATGCGCCTTTCTCTAACAGCCGACGTCTCGACATTTATTTGACGTCTTCAGGGCTACAAAATGTAAAAACAGATTTATGACAAAACACAAAACAGTATCTATATAAAGCTGCAAATTTAACGGTGATATAAAAACAGTAGTAAACACAAGCGAGCAAAAAAAACGACAAGTATGCTATATTAAAAAATAATAAAAGAAGTAATGTCATAATATCTTTTGAAGTTGATGTTCAAAATTGAGAAAAAAATAGACTACTAATTTTTTTCAGAGAAAGACCCATTCTTGAAGACTTTGTTTATTTTATCCTAAAAAACAAAGACTAAAACCAGGAATTCATTACAAATCTGGTAGCTTGAGAATGCTCGAAACATCCAAAGAGAAATATGATTGAAAGATTTTAAATAATTAAGTCAATTGCAGTCCAAATTTAAGTACAGTTCGTCAAGTGTAGGAAGAGATATGAGGATTTGCTGGGATTGCGCACACGAGAGAGGGAGAACTCAAACGGAGCAAAAGAGATGGCACTTATGTGCCATTCGATCTCGAGTGGTACAGTCCGCGTCCTAAATTAATCGAATAATTTCAATAATGGAATACGTATTATGTGAAGCCTGATTCGTTTAATCGAAATTGTTGGCATGTGTCAAAAGGACACCAAAACAGTATATTCTAAAAAATAAGTATTGCACGCTATGTAGCTATAAGACTGAAATTGATTGGTACTTATTCTATTTTTAATTGTTAATAATTTCAAATAATAAACCATCAAATGAAAAGTAAGGTCATAAAACTAGTAGTAGATACAGTTGGCAATATTTTAAAGATTTATGAACTTTCACAGCGGATCAAATCCTGAAAGTTCGGAATCTGAGCTATTACTTAAACTTAAATCTTCGGTTTTGCTATCGCTATCTTCCTATAGGTTTATTATTACTTGATCCACAACTAAGTCGAGTGCTGGTTCCATTTCCATATACTGCTTCTTAAAACCGTTGGCACGCTCACATCGCTTTTTCCATTCTTCTGTGGGATAATACGAGAACAAGTCGTCGCAAAGTTTGTCGACAGTCTTGAGATTAGAATCTACATTTCTCTCAGCCACATATTGTTTCAAAGATGCCCAGACCAACTCAATTGGGTTCAAATCGGGTGGCAATCTCAAAACAGAATGACTTTTTTCAGCCATTATTCTGTCTATTTCATAAGTTATATATGCCGGCTTATGCATTTTGATAATGCTATACAAGTCAATTTTCAACATGTCGTCAGTGAAATGTATGTTCTTTTTGCTTTAGGCATTCTTTCATATGGTATGATCCTTCTTAAAGCACATAGTAGGACATTTGTATATCTGAACATTGTGGTATGGAGCGTTGTCATTAACCAAAACACTATTTGGTGATAGGTTGGGAATCAGATTATCCTGAAGCCATTTTTTATAGTTACTTAGTTCATCTCACTATGATTATCACCCGACATACTATTGGATTTAAATTTCAATTATGAATTTTCCACAAAACCATGTTCACTACCAGCATGCAAAATAATAAATCTTTGTCCTTTTGAGACTCGCCTGTGAAGGCTCTCATTTGTATTATCGCTCCAACTCTTTTCATGCGTATGTGACTTATGGATGGATGTTTCGTCCATATAAATTATAGGACGATTTTTTCCCCAATTTTCTTTCATCCTTCTCAGAAAATTACTCCTGAGATGCTGAATCTCTGGTTTCTCACTTTCCTTAAATTTTCATGTGATCCAGAGTAATTGTGTTCTTGAACAAATTTTCTGTGTATGAACCGCAAAGATTCTTTTCCGTTATGTAAAAATTCATTCAGCAGTCCTATATCAAAGTCGTCGAAATCAGATTTCGGGTGGCTCTGCGTCTTTTTTTGTTTGGTGTCGAAAAAGATGTCGGAGCACCTTCTTCAACAGATTTCATTTCACGTGAAATCCTCCTAATAGTCGATAGACTAACTCTCGTGGCCATGGCTGCATGCTCCTGAACTTTCATCAAATCTTTAAGAGGTTTATTTCTTTCTGCTTCTCGTTGCATAAAGAATATAACATTTGCTATAACCTCCTTAGTTTATTCTGATAAAACTTTACGCTGTAATTTGGATTTAAAATCCATTATAAACGAGTAAATCTCTTACCACATCAAGGAATAAATAGGGACAATTGATAGCGTAAAATAGTATGAATTCAAACTACGAATTCGTAACAATACATACAATTCCCAGATAATAACTAATAAAGTTGTTTCACTGCCTGACAATTTTTCTCCTGACTATACGCTAACTAGTCTTGTCACGACAAGAAACTACTGTTTCGTCTGACGAATTGAGCCGTACTGCGCACCGAGAAGACGTGGCATTATTCAAAAATTCGCATCTCTTCCTATACTTGACGAGCTTTTAGGTAGTTGAGGTGATATGATCCTTTGTGCCGTTTTTGTTTGATGCAACCACTTACAGATTATAAAAGACTTTCGAAAATATTTGTAGTTTGGAAATTAGATTACTAGCGATATGTCAACAGGCATTTCCTATGCACCCTCTCAATTAACTATGAAAAAATGTTTGAAATGTATGATGCCATCACAATGACTAGTGCATAGATATTTTCAAGTGCTCTTCTTCTTCTAGGTCTGTGACATCTGTCTATATATAACCATTGTGACACTATACTATTAAAACTTGTCTAGAATAATTACACTACAGCACCGAGGAAATATTTATTGAATAAAAGATAACACTATCCTAACCAACATTACAATAATACTTATTTGATAATTTCTACTGGCCGAATAGCTGAATACTATAGTCACAAAAAACTAACACCACAAAAAAGACCGAAAACTATTCACATTTTTGGTTACACCTGATGGATACTAATTAAGATTTAAAATATTTTTTTAAAATCATCAAGTTATTTCAGCACCGCAGTAATCAAAAATATAGGCTACTATTGTATACTTAGTCATCATTCAGAGTTAGGGAAAACTGAAGAAAGATCAAATTGCATGCGAATAAAAAAAAGTGAAGATACCATAATGTACATTTGCACTTTCGTTCACGTGCATTGCCATTTTTTCTTAAGTATCAGAATTACTTTTGGTGGATCTTTCACAATGATTTCAGTTCATTGTATCCAAAAATCATTTCTTTGGGGGTAAGGATTGTTAAATACCACTTTTTAATTTTTACTTTTGAACAAAACTTTAAGTGCTGAATGCCTTGCTTCAGTTTTCACAATTTATACTTAAAAGTAACTAAAAGACCTACGATTATATCCTAATTTAATTTATCCAAGAAATAAATACATGAACATCTTTAAAGATGAATAATGCCTCCATCATAAAATTTTACCACATAGTTACAAAATAGCACAAATATTAAATTTTTAAAAATATCTCGTATACAGAGTAAAGTGGGCAACTCGAAGTTATTGTTTCAAAAACTACTTATGATTAAATATAATTGGCCAGACTTCGCTATTTATCACTGTACTGTACTTGCATGCATGGGCTAAAATGAAATCGATTGAATTGAATTGGATTGGAATGCATTTATTTCATGGATTACGTCATAGTCAAATGTTGTTGGATATTAATTGACATTCATTGGATAAGAAAATATTTTTACATTAGACCTTAATATTTCGTATATACAAGACCACAAAATCCAAATCCACAAATGTCCGATGTCACGGTTAACAAATAATAACCTATACAAACAAAAGACAATCGCAAAATTTATCCAGAAAATATCATAAAAAGCTTCAATATGTCGTAAAATGTCCAATTATCGAGATACTGAGTGTTGTAAATGTCGATGCCATTTATGAAACTGAAGAACAAAATATGAATATTGTTTATGTTATGCTATGGCGAAGAGGGATGACCATGTATGACAAAAATTTCTCAAGGCGGTGCATGTAATTCACTCCAATCACATACCAACAATTTCCTTTAGTTCAAAATGATAAAATCCAGTATCTCGATAAAGTGGAATTTCAGAACGTGTGTTCATATGAACCCTTCATGATATTTATGACTTCAAAATATTGCAACTGTTATTTGCATTACTCTGTATAAATGATAAAAGTAAACAGTTCCCCTAAGGGCCGATAATCAAGTTGGATTCAATTCTTCTCACATCAGACCGTGTGACAGTAAGGCGTATATTCTTACCAAATGAATTTAAATATTACACTGATTTATATAAAATGCGTTTGCATTGAGGTCTGCAACATCTCTTTCTTATGTCTCTGTCTCTTATTTTGGAACCACACGGATATGACCTTTCTGGATAGCCCTGTCAACTGCTCCAACTTCAGCTTATCGTCATTATCAGGGAATGGATTTAAATTGTAATAATCCGTCAATATCTTTGACTGTTCGTCTGTAAGTACAGTTCTGTTTCTCATCAAGAGCATATCTTGTGAAAACATCTGCATATTACTAGTATCCAACATTCCTTGTGGCTCAGCCTTAGATAGACCAGACAAGTCAGGAGGTGGTAGCGGGACTTCAGTTGATGATGGTACCACTTCAGTTTTTATCAATCCCGGAGGGAGAACCATTTCGGTCTTAACCAGTGCAGATGCGTTGATAGTAGGAACTAAAAAAATAATGTAGTTAGATGAATATTTAGCTTGGATCAAAATTCTTTCAAAACACGTAGGTAATATGACAGATTCACAATCAGCTGAGAAATAAAAAAAATCACACGAAAGTATTTTTTTTTTTAGCGTTTATGAACACCAATACTATAGGTTGAATCAAACCGTTAAACCATTATTGAGGGACACGTGGGACTAAAGTGCTTTTCAGAATGGTCACCGCTACATATTTATTGAATAGGTCAAGTTAGCAAGGTACAATTAGGTATGATGGGACTGATGAATGAATAATCCGGAATTTAAAAATATAAATAACAGTTAAGAGTTTAAAGATGGCGGCTGTGAGCCATTTTGGAACTTTTGTTTGAATTGAATGGGGGGTCGATACCTCATTTTGAAGCTCCTTTTTGTACAACTAATCGTCTAGATATTAAAGTATAAAATTTTTCTTTTGAAAGGTCTATCTGAATTTGCAAAAAAATGTGCGACACTTAATTAAAAAAATGACAAATTTTGACAACTTTTTCAAAAGAAAAGTACCATATTTTATTACGATAGATCCTTCCGAGAGAAGTAGATTAATATAACATACGTTACGCGTTTTGATTATTGCTTGTTTGGTTATAATCAATTGAATGTACAAAAACCTTTAAATTAGTAGCCTACATTTTTGAAGTTAATGTACTCGTAGTATCATACTGCCTCCCATTCCATTTAAATAAAAATGTTCCAAAATATAACAATTTCATTACCCTGAACTTAAACTTGTTAGTATGATCATTTGACCCGTTCAAGAAATAAGTAAGGATTTTGAAAAACGCTATACACATATAAAATGTTAGTATCACACAAACGAAGTGTAGGAAATAGGAAGCTACGGGTTGTCCGTATAATTGCTACCTAAATAAAGGTATAGCAACATTATGAACTAAAAAAGTAGAAGGTCGCCTTTTATCGATTTGTTTAAAGAATTCTGGTACAGGAAGAAACGCATTTTATATGCAAATAAACTATATTTCACAATTTCGTAAGATGGTGGCTTACATAAATTAAATATAAATTATATTACAGCCATTACTGCATATAAAGTATTCCGCATACTTTGCCTCAGGAGTACTTACAAGTATACTCATTATGCAAACTTTGAGGGCGAGTATGACTAATGCCTCAGTCAAATCAGGCAACGTCAAAATGGAATCAGGTCTTATGGATAGCTAGCCGAGAGATATGCTAATAACAGATAAACTATCCAGAACAGTAGATAAACTTTGCACATAACAAGAAAAACAAAAAAATTTAATAGCCAAATGTAAATGGTGGGCCATCCGTTGGACCAATAAATAATCCCACCACTCCAAAAGCCACACCAAACAGTTACTCTTTTTGGATGCATTGGTTTTTCTATGACATGTGGATTTTCAGAACCCCAAGTCCTACCCTACTGCTTGTTAACGTAACCTCCCAGATGGAGATGGACTTCGTCGGAAAATATCATTTGGCGACCAAAATTGACGTCCGTTTACAATTGATTTAGAGCCCTCATAGAGAAACGATATCGAAGCCGATGGTCATTTTGTTTCAACTCTTTCACAAGTTGCACCTTATAAGGAAATAGTTCTAGGTCGTTATGCAATATTCTCGACACAGAAGTGCGACTGATGCCCACTTGCTCTGCTCTGAGACGGGTTGACACTCTTGCGTTTTCACGCATACTCTGGGCAACAGCAGCAACGTTTTCGGCTATAAGTACGCGTCGAACACGCTCATACCTTATGTTATCCATAAGCAGGCCAGTTTCACGAACCTTCTTCACGAATGTTCGTATACCACTCGCGGACGGAGCTTCATTTCGACAGTCTTCTCAATTTTCGCAAAGTTTCCGCAACTTAGCACTCACTTTGAAACTAGTTTTTAAATATTTCCCACCTCTGTCCAAGATTGAAAAGATCCATTGCTCACATCGGAAGTTTGACACAATATATCTGTCAATATGTTGAGCATGGAAGTGTTACCAACTGTCAAAATAATACCAACTTAAAAAAACAACTGATGACCCACCCTTTATTAATCGTGTTCCGCAGAACATAATGCTATTCGAGCAACTACTGACGTTACTACATTCACATACTATACAGGGTGCCGCATCGAAAACGAAACAGACGCATTTACTGGCAGCTCAGTTTTTTTTTGGAAAAACGCTCAGACCCGTCGATTTTGTTTGAAAGACCTTCAAAATAAGGTATCACTCGACCCCCCTTTCCATTTAAGATTTTGAGGGTGGTGTCACCCTCGCTTGGGGGCTGCACGTGCTAACGTGATTTTTTGCCAAACTTGTACCCCTTCGAAAACAAAATCGACTGGTCTGAGCGTTTCTAAAAAAAAACTGCGCTGCCAGTAATTGCATCTGTTTCTTTTTCGATGCGATAACCTGTATACTTGTATTACCGAACGGTTTAGCGTAAAGCATTTCAAACAATCATAAACATAAACGCTAGTAAAAAGGATTTTTCCTGATAAACAGTTCTTACAAGATTTATAACATGAGTATGCGTGTCGCTACATGCCCCGGCATTTATGGCTCGCTGGTCAACAGGAGAGACATAGCTATGTGTTACGTAATATCAGATGGCGGCACTGATCCAGATCTGGTAACCGCTATGCTCACTCTCTTGAACTTCGTGGACACCATACACATCTCACACATCGGAATCAAGCAGTTCTGAAGGTACCCCCATATACACAAAAAAGACAGTCCTTAGTGTAAGAGCACGAGAATCTATGAAATTATGATAATGATTCCAGATCACAGATACTTGAAATGAGGTAATTTTATTGTGCAATTAAGAAATTGACGTTAAGTTTCGCTCAAAAAAATAGATCTTCGGAACATATTAAATTCACTATCCTGTATTCACCATTTATTCTCCGGAACTAAGGCACTCTTTTTTGGGTGTGCCAGATATTGCAAACATAAACTCCATCTCTATTTAGTCATATTTCCTCCGCTACATCTTATTTCAATAATGAATATCATATGCGACCCTGTAACCCACATAGTAGGAGTGATGGGGATGCGAATCCTGGCGAGTAGGCCACATTTGATCTTTTTGGAGACCCCTTAATATTGCATGCTGATCTACTGATAGTAATTGATTATTTATTAAAGAACAGTTCCAATGTTGCGATGCACTGATATGATCTTGCAATACGACCTACCATGTTTTTTGAATGTTATATGACATGTACATCACGAAAAACCTTGGTCACTACTATAATGCTAAGGACGAAAAATCTTCGTAGTTCTTAAAAATTTGCTCAGAGGCGACGAAGTGGGCGGCGAAAAAAGTAAACTCGCTTACACTTTGTTTTCAGAGGCTCCTTAATCATTTCTGACGAGAAAAAAAAACGTTTATACATAGGAGTTGAAAATTGGGAATTATGGGGTTTAGGGTGTGGAGGGTTGTGAATGTTACGACTTTAGTATCAGACAAAGACGTTCAATCATTAAGAAGCTTATGATCACGGTAACAACGCGTAAATTAAATGATAAAAGTCCGATGTTAATGTGGACATAATTGGAAATAACTTGCAATCGTCGTGGACGCCACTGTGGTAAGTGGCAGGCGCAATGGTTAACTAACTCCAACTGGTAAACTCCGGCGGTGTCGACTCCGACACACCACTACAGGGTAATATTTATATGTTTTAGGGGTATTTTGTTATTAGTGGTACATACCACTTTAGCGTTCTGCGATGCTTTTGTAGATGATGACTTGATTGTGTTTATATTTACACAAATCTTTTTCTAAATTTTATGATCCTTAAAATGTACCAACACATTGCCTAAATTAGAAATGAATAGTGACGACATTAATGAGAAACACGGACTTGTGTGATATCTTTAAGCAACAGATGACTTTTGAACTGGTGTTCGAATATTATCGAGAGTTCAATACTTCCGTCGTTTATGTAGTCGTAGATTTTGAAAACTGATGCAGTGGCGGCGGAACTACGGATATTGTTTGGAAGGGTTGAATATTGTAGGTTGGAAGCTGTATGAGGTAAGTGGTTGTGAATTATTGCCTGCTTAGTGTCAGTAGCGGAGTTCTGTGTTGATGAAGACGAACGTATACAATATAGCGTATTACAAACGAAATCATCCAGTAAGTTCTGCCCTAGAAAGTTTATTATGCTTGGAGTTATGCCTTCTTCTCCGAAACCACCCAGTTATAAAGTTGTAAGTAAGTCCGGTCATTTCAGATAAGTTAAGTTTCGTGTCCGGATCTGGAAACTGATCAACTGTAAATGCATCCTTCAAAGTTGTCACCTGGTATTCAGACATCACTATCCTTGTCCTAGTTCTGATCAGAGATGATTTCTTGATATGCTCTGTGCTGGAGTATCTCTGCTGCTTCAATGGCACTACTGTTACTGATTCGCTGAAAACTAAATCGATGGTTAAGAGAAACAGATATGTAACACTACAGAAAAGAGTTGCGAGGTATATTCACTGGGTGCGTGATGACAGCGCCAATCTATGTACAATCGCACTAATGTAGGACTGGAATATTTGTGATTGTATTGTGAAATAAATAAAAAAGATACATTTTTATAAACAAGCTCCTTTATCTCGTGTTTTCAAATAAAAGCGTGTTACACCATTTTTCCATCTTGCTTAAAACGTAACATGGTCTTTATTAATTTTTTACTTTTTAGTATTGATGATGCCAAGTAACTAGTTTAGTGATTTCTATATGATTTTCATATATTTTATTAATAGCACTCCACAAAACTTCTTGTATTACAAAAATTCAATACATATAAATTGTATAATTCGATATTTTGGTGCCATATAGGATTAGAATAACGTAACTTTGATTATTGTGTTTCTCTCATCAATCCCGTTTAATTATATCCATATAATATGAACAATATAAATCTGCATTTTGCGGTCGCCGCCATTGATTTAGAATGAGGTCACTTTATTGTGTTTCCTTCACCAAGCCTTTTCGAGACTCATATCATAAGGGGTCCTATGGAAACGATAAATCGCCGTTTTGTAGCATCTGCCATATTTGATTCAAAATGGCTGCAGTTAATTTGTGTAATGTCACCCGAACCAAACGTGTGGATGAAATTTCAGCTATATCGATTAAGGTTAACCGGTTCACAATTTAGTCTAGAATTTGTCCCACATAAATATAACATTTGGTCAATTTTTATCTAATTATAACAAAAAATAATTGTTTATAAATATTGTATGAGTAATATAATGTATAAAAATCAGTTTCTATATACAGATTTAGTGTTTGAAAAACCTCCAGTTAACTCAAAAATGTCTTTCTCTTTATAACAGCTGTCCATTCATTCCAGTTACTCTAATTTCCAACTCGTTTGTGGAAATCCATAGAATTTGCATTTACTGTTCGTACCAATATTTTTACAATTCACAACACAACAGGGCCTTGAATCATATTGCACCCAGCAAACCCATTGTTTAGGTACGTGATTCATATATATAATATAAACAGAAATGATCCAAGCATAGAGTCCTGTCCTCGTATTGTTAATAATCATAAGGTATCAAACGCCACTGTTAACGTCCTTGAGTAAGATGATATCCGCGCACATACATACCCATTCACCAATTTGGCAGAGGTATACGGATATGTTACATTACTCGATAATAACATTAGACTGGGGAAGTATAGTGTTTAAAATGGAATATTGCGATAATTTTAATCCAAAAATGCAATCTCCAGAAATAGCGATAGTGCTGAAAATTCAAACAGTCTTAATCGATAATATTTGAATGATTCACGACAAACTCTGCCTTGGCAACCTTATTATGTTTGGAGTTATGTCTCCTTCTTTGAAACCATAAAGTAATAAAATTATAAGTAAGTCCCGTCATTCTTGATAGCTGATTCTTTGTGGCTACATCTGGAAACTGTTGACTTTTGAACGCTTCTTTTAGAATGTCCGCCTGAAACACTGTCATCACTGTCCTGTTCCTAGCTACAGATCGTCTCCTATTCAGTTCTGATTTGATATCAATGTCAGGTCTGGGTGACCCAACTGAGACCGACTTGCTGAAAACTAAGTAGCCAAATAAGAAAGTTATATTACAGATACAAATTGTGTTTTACGGGATGAAAATTCAAGAACACTGCTTGGTCTCACTTGAGTTCGATATTTCCATTTTTGATAAAATAATTTAGAATGCATTTTCTATGTCGTTTGTAAAGCGTATTCAAAAAAAAGTATTGTTTGTTTTTGTTAAAATAACCCAGTGAGTCAAACATGCGAAAAATCTAAAAGAAGTATTCTAAATTATTTGATCAAACGAGAATATTACATTGATAAAAGACCAGTAGCGCGCTTGTACTAGACTCGAGAATGCAGATATTCTTCACTTCTATCATGTTATTGAAAGGACATTACACTGAGCTTAACAAATGAAGATGCCGAAGCAAGAAGCATATTTCTTAATGCAAATAATCACAAGTGGTGGAAAAGGCATGAAAATGTATTCCTACATTACAGTTGTTAGGGCAAGAGATCTTTTATCGACATCTGCAACATCAGCATCCATTGAAAGCGAATTTTCTATTGCTGCACTGCACCTTACGAGACCCCTCAACAGATTAAGCAATCATCCGTTAGTATCTCATGTGTCTTAACTTGCGGTTAGAGAACAAAGAGCTAATTAAGAATTTTTCAATTTTATATCGTTTGAGAAAGAAATAATCTCTGTTCTATTTGAGTTTACAGTTTAATCGTTCTTTTATTTGTTATATGCCACTAAGTCTTTCCGCAGTTCATTATTATAATCCACTGGTATTTATATTACAAAAGTTTTCAAGTAATATCTGTACTTCTTGAGATTTCAAGTACTTGACGTAAAAACGACTTGCTTTGATTTAATATCTTATACTTGCCTTTATCTCGACCTTATTTGTAGTCAAGTCAATCAGCTTGACAATCGAAGGTCAAGAAATGATAACCTAGGGTGGTTTGGATAAGTAGGTAAGCGCACGAAATAGCTAGGTTAAGTAAACCATAAATAAATATTTTTTATTCCCACTATATGTATTTCAATAATTACATTAAAAAAATACAATCAAAATATTAAACTTTATCGTCTCGACTATTTTCTTCTTTGGGATCGTCTATAAAATTTGTTCCAACTTTAGTGGCAGCCAAATTTAGTTGTCGAATATGATGACGTTCTTTCCATCTTGTCAACCATCCCTCGCTAGCTGAAAACGTGGGATTTCCACCGAATTCCGCATTGACGCTTAACGCCTTTTTGCGAATCATAGACCCAGTGACATTGATACCTTTTGATCGAACCTGGAGGTACCAACTGAATACAGCATCATCTAACAGGTTTACTCTCTGCTTCTTCAAATTTTTTATCACCTCGTTGTTCGCGTTCTTTTCAATGATACCTTGTTCGCTTATCCATTTGTTCAAGATCCTTTTGTGTATACCCAATTCGCTGCAAATTACTTCTTTAGATTTTGAGCTTAGTTCTCGCAAGATAGTGGCTTTTTCTTCGAAGGTGTATCGTCTCCTTGAGGCATGGATCCCAGACAAGTGTTTATGATAATCCAGCTTAAAGGAAGTTGCTGGTTCGATGGAAATTTCTGGTTCCAGTTGATCTGGAAAAATGAAAATTAGAGAGCAATCTGATAATATTTTACATAAAATGATACCACATTCGGAAAAACTGCGCTACAATTGGCGATAATGGTTTTAAACACTAGTCTTTCATAATGAAATAGAAGATTTCAATAAATATTTATTAACATCTTCTTTTTATTTCCAAACTTCCTTATATATTAAAAGAAAATTATACTGGAACGACAATTATTTTTCACAAAACCTATTAATGAGAAAAATGCAGAACGATTTTACCATTCAACTTATTTATATATATATATGAGTATAAAGGCACACAAATTGTCAAAGTCAGTATTGCAATACTGATTACCTATATTTCACTTCTTGGTTCCAGGGTCCATGAAATTCTTATTTCGCGCCACGCTCACTCCATTAAACCTCCCTGACGTAAATCAAGAGCACCATGTGCTAAATATAATTATGTGTGTCTATTAGGCAAAAATGATTGGGAGCTACCTTATCGGCTCTAACTTGCACTTAGCCTTTGGCTTACTTCTTAAAACCTTACTTTTGGGTTTCGACCTATCTTGGGCCATATTCACGACTTACTTGAAGCTTGGTCTGCACTTTAGTAAGACCTCCCTTGGGTTACTTACGCCTTGACTTTGTCTTTCCGAGGACCTGAGTTGACCCATAACCTTGCTGTACACATATACAGCAAATCCTCATCCATGGCGTATGGCTTCCATCGATCTCACATGCATGGCAGTTGTAGAGACAAGTCATATTTCCTTCCTCATTCCACATACCCGATTTTTAAGCCTCATGCATCCAACTGAGCTGCTTAAAGCTAGCTAAAATATATTTTCTGTGTGAACACAGCGACGATGTTACATTCAATATAACACCTTTTCTGCGCAATCATAGAAAATACGGCTATATTCCATTTACTATTTTGCATTGCTTAGGAACATATAGCACAAAAAATAAAACAGTCCAATATGCTTAAAACATATCGTCAGCAAACACCTTTCTGACATGAATGACAGCATAGTCACAACTGTTACAGCCTTCTGTGAGACGCAAATGCTAAATTCTCACTTGAGCGTTCCTTGGCAAAGCGCTGTTGTTCATTAAAAATCTAGAGAGACATCATTCCTCAAACGGTCCTCAATCCTTAAGGAAGGGTTATGAATGTAACTCAGGCCTCGATTCTGCTATTGACAGGCAGGAATCAAAATCTGTGCCTTTTACAAAAATCTGACCAATAAGAAGGCGTCATTGGAAAAAAGGATGTAAAGAATTTGGTCTATTTCTCGTCTTAAATCAAGAAATACATCATAAATTACTGATTCAGCTACAAAAACCTATTTTTCATTTGTGTCCGGACACAAAAGTAGATGTAAATTAATAAAAAGGGACTTGTGGCCTACTCGAAACAACCAAGCTGATATAATAGATTGACGTGACGCAATTACTAAGCATTTTATTGAAAATAACAGTGTCTCACTTTTGCTGTACAAAATTCTGCTTAATAAATACTTTGAAGACAAATAAAATTACACGTCGAGTAAGTAATCAATTTACTTACATACTAACAGGAAGATGTCGTGCACTCTACTGGACGGTAGGACGACTACCCCACCACCCTGCGCTGGTGTGACGGTGGCTAGGCTGAAATAGTTCGCCTACTGCCCAGTAGATGACGCGCGAGCCCTGTTAATAGGAATAGCATTTACACCACGTCAAAATAAACACGGATTCTTGATCGCCAAAATTCACGCTATGGGAGGGTAGCAGTTCATATATACAATTCATGGTTTCAACACAAATGTATTCACTACTTATATCAATACATAGGGCTAGTTATTTTTCTTGGAAGCATGTACTGTAAGGTTGTGATACCTCAATCCATCTGGTCTGCGAAACGATTTCATACATTTGTCACATTTAAACTGTTTATCATTCCTACATTCGTACTTTATATGTTGCCTGACACCTCTTGTGTAAGTGTATTTTCTGTGACACTGTCGACAAACATGCATCCCGTCTATGACATCATAACCTACAATAAAGTTTTACTTACTAACTTCAATAGCTCGTTACTAAGAATAATTGTTTTTATATCTTTACCGTCTCAAAGCCGTAAATGCTGTGTGACCTCAACCAAGTGTTTGTGATAGTTTATTCACTGAGACAAAGCAGTTACGCCATATTAAGTAAATTTGAATGCCAAACTTAATGCAAAATAGATTCTAAATTGGTACATATAGTTTCAATTTCCCCGGTACATTTATGTTGGTAACCGTTTTCTGCGTTGTTACATTGTCGCAAAGCTTGTCAGGCAATTATGCCAGCGGCTGTTGTTTATTTGTGGTTTATTTTCGTTCTTTTCGCCTCAATATTTGCATTGTTATTTTATAAAAACAGTTATTTTTTCAGATCTTTCATTTTGTTAAAATGCCGAAACCTCTGGATTGACAGCAAAAGGATTCGTCATTTCTTTGACGAAATATTTTGACACCGAATCAGATCACGGAGCTCCATTATTGCCTTTGCAGTCCGTAAGGGAGGTATAAGGTAGTACATAGAATTTATACTAGCTCTAGCGTTTACAAAACATTAGCTCCGAAATGTTGGTTACGGTAAGGCATCGAAAACATAAAGTAGATTGTGTAAAACGACCCAGGATCTAGTAGTTTTAATTAATGTGGCAACCATGTGCGTCACTGTCATTATTTGACGTTGTGACGTAACTGCTTTGATTCAGTGAAAAAACTGTATGTCTTGTTACAACTAAGATAAGTCTCAAGACCAGAATATGTCCTAAACGGCATACATTTCTCAAACGGCAAAATCAGAACGGTGTAAAACAGTTATTTGTTCATCTGAAACTTATCCTGTGGTTTTCGCGCCGATAACACTCTACGTTTTTCCTAACAAATCAAACCACCCATATAGTATAGTATTGACTCTTAACTAACGTTTCGATCACCTTTTGCAAGGAATAAACAAAAATGAGATCGAGAATATATATTATATTTATCTGTCTTCCGGGTGACAGTCCAGTTGTTTATTGCCTCTGCTATACAGGGCCGTTCAGGGTGTTGTTACAACCTACTGTATATCAGCGGCAAAAAACAAATGAACTGTCACCTGGAAGACAGATAAGTTTAAAATATATTGTCAATGTCCATTGCATCCGGACTTTGAAAAAGGACACTGAGGTAGCCGAAATGTTAGTGAAGAGTCATTCCTATACAAGGAGTCTCATTTTAATCTCTCCACCTAAATATTCAGAAATCAGCGCTATCTAGAAAATAATTTTCAAAATAACATGTGGGATTTCAAGGGGAAAATGACGGCGACCTTCACAATGACCTTGACTACGAACTTCGAGATTATTTCAAGGTTATTTGGATATTTTCAAATGTTAACCACTTTTCACATTGGAATTGAAGAGAGGAGGACATGTTACGTCTGAATATCACCTTGACCATGGCAAAAACCATGGCATTCAAGGCCATGTCAAGGTAAAATCAAGACAGCGAAAGCAATGTGCTATAACAAAAATGTTCTACAGCACAGTTTTGAGGGTTGTGGGGATCACCCACAGTTGGCCTTGATCATGACCCTCAAGGTCAAGTCAACTTTTCCAGAAGTAAATCCTCATTTTTATACCGGAAATTGAAAAAGCAGGAATGTTTGCGTCCGAAGGTGACCTTAAATTCAACCAACATTTAAGATTGCCATGACCTTGACTTTCAGATCAAGGCAAGATTCGGACATACAGTTTCCCGCTTTTACCATTTCCAGTCCAAAAATGAAAGGTCTCCTTTGGGAATCACGACTTAACCTTGAAATTCGTGGTCAAGGTTATAATCAAAATCACCTTTGGTTGACCTCTACAAACCTCACAATTGTGCTGTCGAACATTTTTGTTGTTGTTTTTGTTTTCAACATCTTGAAATGGTCTTGAACGTACTAGTCAAGGTTATGGTGATGGTCGTACTCGGACATAAAATTTTCTCTTTTCAATTTCAAGGTGAAAAAGGGGGTTCGATTTGAATATGTTCGCTTGACCAGGGGATGGTCTCAGAGGTCGAGGTCATTGTCAAGGTCAACACCATTTTCCCTGCGAAACCCTACAAGTTTTGATTGCTTTTTTCTAGCATGCGTAGATTTGGGAATGTTTATGTGGGGATATTAAAATTGGACACCCTGTATACGTAGCACCATTTTTCTGGATATCAATCAACATTTTTATACCATATTATGATGACATTCGACGTTTTGGCAGCAAGTAAGTGTTTCATTGTCATCCATCAGCAAGCGTTCTTGGTCATTTGCGATCGGATTTAGAAAAAGCTTAATTCTGCATGCTCGAGTACGCAGAAGAATACGATCACAAAATAAACAGGCATAAGCAGTGGTTTCAGCTACATTCCTATATTCATTTGACAGAGTTTAATATTCAACAGAACACCAATTACAATGCAGATTTCTGAACAAAATGTATTAACATCTAGCGCCTTGTTTGCTATGATGTTCGAGTATGTGATACTTTAACGTTGTCTTTCTGGTGTACTTTTTCGTGCAATATTGACAATGAAACTGTTTATCTTTGCCACACTCATATCTCAAATGCTGCTTGACACCATTTACGTACTTGTACGTTCTTTGACACTGAAGACAGACGTACATATTGTCAATTAGTTCAAATCCTGAAACTAAACCACGTATTAGGATCTTTTATGTGCGATCGAGCCTCTGGAGCAGGATTATTATCAGAGGGTGGCTGATTAGAGAATCGCAACAGGAAACTATTTGTATGTTATGACCATGTGTCAGTCAGTAAAAAATTTTAAAGAGTTGGGTGTAGCAATTTTTCTCAAGATGAATCTTTAAAATCTTGAATATGGTACACAGAGCTATGCCAAATATGCAAATTTTAGGACGCAGCCAAATCTTAAAAATCTGAGGCATAATAACAATCAAAAATGTTTCACTTTCAATTTTCTCAAGATGAATCTAAAAATATTGAATATGGTACACAAAGCTGTGCCAAATATGCAAATTTTAGGACGCAGCCAAATATTAGAAATCTGAGGCATAATAACAATAAAAAATGTTTCACTTTCAATGGTTAAAAATCAGCTGTTAGATCTGTTTTGACTAGTAATGCTCTTTTATGTTTTTTTTAGTATTTTCATCCATCCGTTATTAGTTTTTATCTGGTTCTTTTAAAATATTTCTAATTATTTGATGCTGATAATCGACAAGTGTCTTATTGGGTTTTGCCTAAGATGCATGTTACGCAATAATTGACGAATGTATTATCGTGTAATATTACATTCAATAAGAATAGAATGACAATATTTGTATCTCCGGATTATTTCTACGCAGCATGTATAATAATTGACAAGTGTCTTATTATGCACACATAATAAAACCCATGTGAAAGATAGCAATAGTTTTCTATATCTTGCTTATTTTTTGTTTTTAGACATTTACGCCTTGCTCAATAATTGACAGATGTCTTATTGGGCATTATATATATATATATATATGACATTTTAAATCTGTCCTGTTTTCTTTGCTAGCATCACAATTGTGTTTTCAGAATCCTGATGATGGCTCCATAGAGAATGCCGAAAGCTTGATTTTATCGTCAAAAGAGTCAACTTAAGCCTAAAAGTTTTGCCAATTTCCCAATTAACAAGTGTAACTATGCGTAAAATTATTCTTATTATGCTATTAGTGTAGTGTTTAGTTGCAGTACGTATAGATTGTTGGCTATTTTTTCTATAAACAATTAGTATCTGTAACTTCAACTATTGTTGAAAAACTTTTCTTTATATTGATATTAAATAACGTGTCTAGTTAATTAGATCGTTTATTCTTTCTCTACGAACATCTACAGTGAGTAATAATCATGTCGGACAACAGCGAAGAATAATTGATAGATTGATCGACTTACCTGTAAGGATGATCGATCCAAATCATTCGAGCTGTTGTCCGGAATGATTGTCTTTGATTTTTTTGTGCTGGCCAGCATTTTTTTTTATACTCCAACTACCACGCCTAAGGCCTAAACACCCATTGGGTACCGTGGGGCTATAGGGGGATACAGGGGAAAGGGGGAACGCCACACGGACTCTGGCGAGGGAACACGTGTGCATGCGACATGCACACATTCTGGCTCCACATACGAGATCCGCCGGGTGGTACCTCCACGTTCGACAGTCAAAGACCGTCTACCACCTAGGGACAATCACAACATCCATAGCCAAGGGAAAAATTTCTCCTGGGACGGGACTCGAACCCGCACAGCGCACGGCCACTGATCATGAGACCAAAGAGTCTACTACTGTGGCCACCGCTGCTGCCTTATTAATCATGCATACTACAGTGTGTAATAATCATTCCGGACAACAGCTCGAATAATTTGGATCGATCATCCTTACAGGTATGTCGATCAATCTATCAATTTTGTATGTTTTGCGAGAGTTGATTAAGCGATTATGCTTTGTCATGGGTTGGCGCCCTTAGGTGTAATTTTACGCCAGGGCCATAAACACCCAATTTGCGCTATGGATACCAACGGTGCGAAAACGGAATACTGCTCCTAAATAAAACCATTTCAAAGAAAACTATTGTACCTGGAGGCCCAGTTATAGAATATACACTATTATACAGAGTGTCCCAATTTTGATCCATATATTGTTTTTGTTTTAATGAAATGTCTACTTTTTATTACATATTCAAATATGGTCTTTTAAAAGAAGATTGATCCAGTTGTTCAACTATTCGGTATTTCAACTAAAAAAACCAAACTGTGACAGGCTGCATGTCTGCTGTTTTGACATAATGGGGTAGTGAATCTACCGTACATTTTTTTTATTAGGTACGTTTTTGACCATTCCAAAAAAAATGCGTTGAATTAGATTAAAATTGAGTATAATAAAACAATGTTGACCGAAAATTTACTACTCTACCTTCGAGAGAGCAGATATGCGAGTTGTCAAGTGTTTTTTTTATAGAAAATATCCAATAGCTCAACAAATAATAATCAGAAGTATATTCCATCAATCTTTCTCTTTTGAAAGAGGATATCCGAATATGTAAAAAGAAGCAGAGTATTCCATTTGAGAAAATCAACTGTAGTATGTTGAGGCACCCTGTATAATTGTGAATATAAAAATGTACTCTCAGATACCTCATAGAATAAATCATAAATTGGTCTATTTGACAAGTTTGTGTTTAGGAGCAATACTCAGATCTCACACAGGTGGTACGCCCTATGTAGCTAGTAGGACAGTGATACAACATCGGATTTGAAGCAGCCGGGAAATTATGTTGTGAAAAAATGAATAAAAGACATCAATGATGGATGCTTATGTATTTTAAAAATTAAGCTAATTAATGACATGGTTATAATCGAGATGGTGAGGAAAGAAGAACATTTTTATTGATTTTTTACAAAATTAGAAGGTGGCATCATGCCGTGAATCATTTTCAAATGGACATTCAATGTATTCCTTCTAGTAAACTTCTTGCTACAAACGTCGCACTGAAACTGTTTATCCTTGTTGCAGTCATATTTCAAATGGCTTCTTGCCGTGGTCGAATGCTTGTAAGATTTGTTGCACCCTTTACAGACAAATAGTCCATTTACAATCATATATCCTATAAAAATCTATAGATACAAACTAAATCAAAAATTTTCACATATCGATAAGCAACAAGTCTGCATCAGGTGCGAGAAAGTAAATATTTTTCATTTACTCAGTATTATATGTTTAACAATGTTTTTGTGTTTGCCAAAAAAATATCATTGCATAGAATGATCTAGGTATTATTAAAGAATCAATTTTCAAATTATCTAACATCCAAAAATCGATAAAACCTAATGAATGAATTGATAGGTTTTATTAACTTTTTAGAAAAATCAATTGTTTACTATAGGAGGGAGGAGGGTATTGCTTATAGTAAGAAATTTAATAATAATAATAATAATAATGTCTATTGAATGAAAAAATAGTTTTATTATGTTCTTAGCCATATTATTACATTAAGTCTTATAGGTTGGGTGCAGTTGGCCACAAGTTTCTTTGCCAAATACAAGGTGTCCACGAATAATTTTCCTTTTTTAAACTCGAATAACTTGGCAACAGTGTAACTTAGCGCGGTCGGCGTAGCGTCCTTCGATAGTGGATCGATGCGGATTATTTAGTAAAAATGGAGCGTTGATCTGGTGCGCATCGTGAGGCCTATTTCAAGAACAATGACTGGTACACAATTGCAAAGTGAAGGTTTTGTGCTCACTTCAATATCAGGCGTATGGAGGATACACCAATTAAAAATTTAGTGAAGTCGTGGGTAAAGAGGTGTAGTGAAGCAGCGTCAGCTTTAAATGTGATACGATCTGTCGTCCAAGGACTGTAACTACTCCCGAGAATGTTGAAGCTGTACGCGCCGCTATAATTCAAAATCTTTTGTGGCTTTGTTCGTAAATCGTCTTTTCATTCGGTTTCAAAGAGAGATTTGAAGCTTCAACCTTACAAGATCCAAATACTACAAGAATTAAACACAAATGACTTTATAAACCCTCGTTCCTTCGGCTAAACAACGATAAACCTTTTTTTTGCAAACGACCGAATTAACAACATTCTGTTCAGTGACGAGGCGCACATTCACCTTTCAGGCGCAGTTAATAAGCAAAATTGTCGTTATTGGGTACTAGAGAATCCAAGGCAAAAACAGGAAAAGCCCCTAAATAGCACAAAAGTAACTGTTGTGGTGTGCAATGTTTGAGAACCAACGTGACATAGCCCAGACTGTAACTAGTGATCGTTATTGTGCAATGCGTCGGGAGATTTTGGTACCTCAGGTACTAAAATTTGATAGCTTTGATCAAGAAACGGGTTACATATGACGGCACTACCGCACATAGAGCCCGATCATCTACGGAAGACATTCGAGAATTATTCCCGGAAAAGGTCATCTCTTGCTTTAGAGACCTAAGCTGGCCAGGTAGGTCTCCAGATCTCACCCCATTGGACTTTTTCTTTGTGGGGACGCCTTAAAAGTCTAGTTTATGTTAATCGACCTAGGTCTTTGCAAGAATTAAAACAAAAAATAACCACATGAAGACGGCATTTCAGGAGTGTTTCGACCGAAATGGAAGGCACCTCGACAATATAAAATTTTTAAAACATGAAATCCGACTGTATTGTGTGTATTTTTGCTTCAATAAATTAATTTTAAGACTTCCAGACAATTTTTTATTAGCCTTTAAAAAAATAAATTTATTCCTGGACATCCAGTATAACCACTTCGTCAACAACTTCTAAAGCTATTAGGTACCTTTACATTTACACTCTTTCCTGCGGGATTGGAACGCCCCGTTCCAATCACGCGAATTCTCGCGCGTCCAAGCGTGGCGCGTCCTAATACGAACTGTCTTAAAAATTACAACTGCTTATCGCACGGTTTGAGTGTGTGTCGTGGAACGGTATAGGATAAAAGTGCAAATGTAAATCAAAAACTGTCATCTTTCGCGAGTGATATTCGTGGCATGTGGAGTCTTGAAATTTTCAACAGTTTTCAAGGCGGTTTTTATCTTCATAATGGATAAAATAATTAAGAAACGGAAAATAAGAGCAGCTTTGTGCTTGGCTGTGTATCTAAATATTCCAAATAAGAGACAAAGAAAGTGTTGGGTGAAAACATGGTTGGAAAATCGCAACAGATATGGACATTTGCCTCTGCTTCATGAGTTGCGTGATAATTATCCCATGGATTTTAGAAACTATTTGAGAATGGATTCTGAATCATTTAGAATTTTGTTGGATTTGGTTTCTCCAATGATTTCTAAACAAGACACAAGATTGCGGGAGAGCATAAGTGCCGAAGAAAGACTAACAACTACTTTGAGATACTTAGCTACAGGTCGTTCGCTTGAAGATTTGAAATTTTCAAGTGGAATATCTGCACCATCTTTATGTAACATTATACCTGAGACATGTAAAGCTATATATGAAGTATTAAGGAAAACATATTTAAAGGTAAGATTACTTGTTTTATTGAAATAAACTTCTTGTGATAACAAAACTTGAATATAAACTAAAAAATTAATTACTAAAATCCTGACTAGCTTGCTCATAGTAAGCTGTTATACTTGCTGAATCTAAAGCATGTAATTGAGATGTTCTTTCTGGACGATGTAATGAAGAATTTGATGAAGCAACACTATATGGGCTAGGCGGTGAGAAAAGTGGAAGTGGAACTGGTGATTGTTGCATAATTATCGTTGTCTCGGTTAATTGGTTTAATAATCCTTTATTTACAACTTGATTGATAAGCATATCTGCATAAAAATAGCCTGAGTTGGATTCATCTTTTTAATTTTTTTCGCCCACGAAATTGCGGCTGCATCAAATTCATCAATTTCATTTTTGCCTTCAAGCTGATTCTTGCAGTAATTCATGAAGTCTGTTTGGGTCTTATTTTGTTTAGAAGTCTTACTTCTTTTATTTGAGGCAGGCTTGAAGGCAGTTGGACGTGTTGGACGTGCATGAGATGTTGAAGGCACTTGTGATGAAACACTTGCAGATTTCTAAAAAAAATATTATTTTAGTTTCCATCTACGCAGCAGGATTGGCTGGAAGTAGCAAATGGATTTGAACAAAAATGGCAATTTATAAACTGTGGAGGAGCTCTGGATGGCAAGCATATTCGTATTGTACCTCCTCCTCATTCAGGAGCACAATACTATAACTATAAAAATTTTTATAGTATCATTTTAATGGCTCTCGTCAATGCTGACTACGAATTTATTTTTGTCGATGTAGGCAAAAATGGAAGATTATCTGATGGAGGAGTAATTGAAAGCACCAAATTTTATCATAAGTTAATTCATGGTAAGTTGTTATACTTGTATATATGTAATTATGAATAATATATTTTGTGGTTTTAGGCCAGTTACATCTGCCAAATAACACAGACACAGAAAATAATTTCAATTTTGTATTTTTGGGCGATGAAGCATTTTCTTTACATGAAAACTTTTTAAAACCGTATCCTCAAAGAGATCTTTCTTATAGTAAAAGAATTTTTAACTATAGACTATCACGAGCGAGAAATGTTTCGGAAAATGCATTTGGCCTGATAGCGGCAAGGTTTAGAATTCTGCATACACCAATACATATGAAGAACCCGGAAAACATCTGTTACGTTGTACTTGCTATTTGTTCTCTTCACAATTTTCTTAGGAAGCGTGATACTTCTTATACAACATCAACATCATTTGATCAAGAAAATCTGATAACTAAAGAGTTACAGGTGGGTGATTGGAGAAAAAATGCCGTTAATATGACAAAATTAGAAAGTCGTAACAAAAAAGTAGCTACCATAGCTGCGAAAACTAATCGAGATAATTATACAAGTTATTTCAATTCAGATGGAAAAGTTGATTGGCAGGATGAAATGTTGGCCAAAGGAAAAGCTTAATGTATATTTTTGTTTTTAATAAATAAGTACCTAAAAAACTTACTTGTGTATTATTTACTTCTGTTTTCTCTTGAAATTCAACTTCTTCTTCAGTAGAGTGGTTGGAATTTTCTGTTCCTTCATCTTCCATGTTACAAATGCTTTGCGTGGGTATTTCCTGATCAATAGTAAACTGGAGTAAGTCGAAATACCATAATGTGGGAGTATAAATTTCATCTGTACTAGCTCCACTTCGCTTGGATTCCTCTATCTTTTTTAATTCCTTCCGAAAAGAACCACGAAAACTTTGTATTTTCTTCACAACATAATCTCGATTTGCTTCTGGATGTAATTTTGTACAAAACTCGACTAATTTGTCGTAAGCAGCATTTTTCAAATTTCTGTTTGTATATTCTCGGGATTTGATTTTCCATAAGCATGGATAAGATTTATATATTTCAATAAACTCTGAAACAACTTCTTTCGACCAATATCGTGTATCTGCCATATTATCTACCTAACAATTAAAATAATTGAAACTTTGTATATGTATATACAATAAAATACTTACCCACGCTAGAACACAATTTACGCACAATTGCCCGCGCGAAAGTAAAATGTAATCAAACGTCTTACCTGCACGAAAATCACTAGCGACGAAAATGCGAGTTTGAACACGTCTAAAAACCGAGCGATTATTTCTCATTTACACTGGCATGCTTTCGCACACGATTGGAACGGGGCGTTCCAGTCCCGCAGGAAAGAGTGTAAATGTAAAGGTACCTATTGTTTCTATTCTGTAATATCGATTCAGTTGAAAATATATTAATACCGACGATTACTTCTTATATCAGGTAACCAAATAAGTTCGTGCGGTTTTTAGTAGAAAAATATAAATTGAGAAACAATAAGACACTATTTATTCGTCGAAGTATTTACCATCACATTCCATAACCTTTTGCCAACGTGGAACCAATTTTTGTATGCCGGTATTGTAGAGCTCCCTGGATTTGGAGTAAAAAAATTGGCGGACTGCATTTATTACATCATCTCGAGTTGTGAACTGTCGGTGCCTCATACAGTTGTCAAGAGACAAAAAAAGGTGATAATCACTGGGCGAAATGTCGGGAGACTATGGCGGGTGCCGTAACGTTTCCCAGTCGAGTTCAGAAATTTTTTGCGGTATGAGGCTTGTCGTTATCCTGCAAGAATATCACTTTCTTCCGATTGATCGAAGAAGGCTGTTTCTGGATGAGTGCTGCTTGTACTCGATGGAGCTGCTCACAATACAAGTTAGCAGTGATGGTTTGACCCCTTTCCAAAAACTCTTAATGGACAATTCCAGTTGCTGTTCACCAAACACACAACAAAACCTTGTTTGGGCACAAGGAAGCCTGGGCGTGTGTGGTACCGAATCAGTACGAATGATACGAACGCGAATTCGAATACAAGATCCATCCATTTTTCGTCGCAGGTTAATAACCGATCAAGAAATGACTGTGTGAGATGTTTGCTGAACAAATGGTAAGACGACTTAATTTGTTATTATTTGTCAGTTCATGTGGGACCCATTTGCTCAACTTCCACGTCTTTCCTAGCTGAAGAAGATGCAAACCAATAGTTTCAGGACTCTGAACATTTCTGCAAGTTCTTGTTCTCCTGGAATTTGCGTCCACAACCTGGCGAAGATCCTCGCTGTTCATGATTTTTGGTCTCGCTGAACCCGGTTCTTCGCTCAAACTTAGATCTTGCGAAGAAAATTTTTTGAACCACTTCTGTGCTGTTCGATCACTAACGGCATCATCTCCGAAAGCGGTACATATTTTTCGCGCCGCCGCTGCAGCTTTTGTACCAAGTTTGTACTCGTACAGTAAACAACTTCTAATTACTGTTTTACTCTTCGGCATTTTCAATTATTAAAACTAGGTATGTAACAATTTTCAGCAACTTTTAATGTGTGTGAGGAAAGAAGGATTCATACTGAAGTAACAAACAATCGCTATCGATCAACAACATCCATGGCAATGTGCGATTTACAGCAACCGCACGGACTTATTTGCTTACCTGATATATAGTTGCAACAGAACTTCTGCAAACAACTTACGTTTGTTTAACTCTCAACTTTTCATTACACAATGGCAATATAGATAACGCGCTGATCGTCATTGACGGACAATTTTATGACAAACCAAGCCAACGGAAAGGGATTAACCTAAGCAGTATAAATGACAGTTAATGGAGCCAAAGATCGCAACACATAAAGCTCACTATCTCACACGTATCCGCATAAATCCGAGTACCTATATACTGCCTGGTGCTCGCACATACGACAGACTTGCAATGTGTCTGGCGCAATGTAAAAACCATTACAACTGTCTAGCTGCTGGGGTATCTTTTGATAATCCTCCAAGTAATACGACTATACATAAATTCCAGCTTTTATAATATGACAAAAGTTTCACTATAATTTCTTAAAGATATTTCTAATATCATTCTGAAGAAGATATAAAAAAAGCTGGGCTGCATAGGTAGGGTAAAGTCGCCTAATATGAGACCCATTTTGGAAAACATCTATAATTTCTGTAAAAATAACAAATTTTAAGTTATTACTGATTTGTTTTATTGGTAAGGGTTTATGCTTTAAAAAACACGGAACGAAAATGTACTTTTTTATTTATTTTTTCAAATAAAGCTACAATACTCATAAAATGTAAAAAGTAACTAAAAAAAATTGGGTTCCTAATATGAGACCCTATAAATTTCTTTCCAAATAACATTATTTAGAGTAAATAGACCATAAAAATACATTATATAGTTACTTTTTCTGTCTTTTTTCACACATTGGGCACACAAAGATAGGATCTTCTGCACCACAATCTTCATGGGCCCATCTGTAGCACACTGTACACCTAACCCACTGTTCACCATGCTTGTCTGCAGAATACATGCTTGTGCAGAAGAGGCATTCTGCGTCATAATTTTCGTCACCATCACTCTCATCATCAACAACAACTTCTCCCAAGTCATCGCTTTCATCAGTTGAGCTGTCACTTAAATCGACCCTCTTCTTTTTAAACCGTTTAGTACTTTTTGGTTTGCGAAACTTTGCTTCCCTTGCATCGTCAAACTTAACCTTCTTTGTAACTGATGTAACTTTGCTATGTTTTGCGGAATCTTCCTTTTTACGTTTCTTATCCAAACTTTCTGTTAAATCATCTTTGTAAGGAGATGAGGTAATCAATGCTGCACTGCCTGCACGAGCACTGGGCTTCTTGCTCTTTATTTTGGGAAGAGGTTTTATCTGCACTGGACTGACAAGCTTTGTAGGTTCTGAAAGGTATTTGACGGCTTTACGAGAACTATTTACAGCCCCCTGATCATTGGACTCTTTTGAATTTCCCGGCCGTGGATCATCTGCGGCATCCTCAATATCGCTAGAATCTTTGGAAGTTCCTGGACGGGGATTATCTAAAGCTGTTTTAATGCAACTGATACCTTCTGATTTTCCTGAAGTATATTCAATGTTTCTAGATTCTGTGGAAGATCCCGGTGGAGGACGACTTACAGTATCTTCAGGAACTGTTAATTTCTCCTCAACTTCGAACACTGAGAAATCATGATCTCGGAAAATATTTCTATTAAGCGGAAATAGTCCCGTTGTTCTAAACGAGTTCACCGAAACCTCCATAGTGGCTGCTCTGTTATATGCAACTGAAAATAGTCTTGCAATGATAAATGGCGTGACAATACGATCAGGGTTGTTTCGCAGCCAAGTCTCAATTTCCTGAGCATAGTACGTTTTCAGAGGCCCCATGAATCCTACATCCAACGGTTGCATGCGATGTGTGCTGTGGGGAGGTAGGCAAACAATTGATACGTGGTTTTCTCTAGCTTTATTTATTACGTCTATGTTACGCGTATGGGAGTAGTGTCCATCGAGCACCAATAACACAGGATCTGATGGTGTTGGCTTTGTGAATTTAATAAAATGGTCAAACCATTGTGTAAATATTTCGGCTTGAATCCATCCAGAAGGGTGACATGCGTAAATGGAACCGGTTGGCGCACCGTCCATCAATTCAATTTTCATATTTTTTCTAGGCCACACAATTAAAGGCGGTACGTAAGTTCCTACAGCATTCATGCATGTCACCACTGTAATAAGGCCTCCCCTTTCAGCTGATGTAAGTGTTGCTACTTGCTTTTTACCTTTAGCAGAAATGACCTTACTTCTTTTATGTTGCACCACACTAATCCCTGTCTCATCCACGTTAAACAACCTTTGTGGTGCAAAATTGATTTTCGATAATTCCTTTTCGTACAAATCGTAGAATGAAGCAACGCTTTCTTGATTGAATCCCCGTATTCTGGCATTGGACATACCTTGAGGTGACCTAACAGACAGCTGGGGATTACGTTTGAAAAATCCTCTAAGCCATTTTTTTCCTGCAACACCTTTTTCCTGTGAAAATGGGTGCTGGATATTATTAGCAATTGCCAACTCGAAGGCCATGCGTTTTACATCAGATCTTCGCAGACCAAAAAACCTATTATCCATATCGAGACAGTATCGAACTAGCTCATCCTCGATAGCTTTTCCTAAAGCAGGTTTTCTACCAAGTGTTGTACGAACGAGTTCTTCAGGAGAAAAATTAATGTTTTTAACATAACGTTCAAGGGTACCTTTCGGTACTTGAAAATGTTTCGCCGCTGTCTTGTAACCCATGACATGAGTTCGAACTGCTTTAATCGCCAACACCATTTGCCCCTTGTTCCATTGTTTGCGACGTTTAGAAGAACTCCCCTGAAAAAATTCTATATAAATATCGGGGTCCTAATATGAGACCCTCCTCATAATGGGAACCCCAGAGGGTCTCATATTTGGAACCAACAACACATTTAGAAAAAAAATTTATAGGTTAGTTTGTTGTATTTCGAATGGATAAAGAAAAGGTGGGAATAAGACTACATTTGTTGTACTACATACAAATCATATTACAAACCAAAATATACTTACCATGATGATAAAGTAAATATATAAAGGGAAAACGGTAAAAAACTTCACAGTACAAATTTTAACAAATCTCGCATTAAACAGCTGTTAAATGAAATATTGCGCCATCTAGAGGAGAGGGCCCGTACTATACCACTAGTAACCTGTAAATCATATGAATGTGGGCTTACAGGACTCTACAGAGACGATCATCTAGGGTCTCATATTAGGAACGGTCTCATATTAGGCGACTTTACCTTACTTTAACGGATTTGAGATACTATTTTATACACCTGCGCTACCTTCTATCTGCGAAAGTAACTAGGATCCAAATTTCATAGACCCTGATCGTTCTTAACTGTGTTAGAGACATGCACAGAGAAACTTTCAGCTTTTATAAAATAACCAAGGTCGGGTCATCGTGGTGGGCTTTTACTCTATTATGAATATGGCCATCAACGAATCAATTGATTAATGAGAAACTTCTAGAAAATTTCGTTATATATTTTTATGGCTCATAATGTTTGAGTAAAAATTCAAAAAAATATATTTACTAGTCTTTTTTATTCATACAAAAACAGATTCTATGTATACAGCATTTAATAATATCA